CATTCGTATAGAGATTTTCAAGCGGTGTAGCAATTAATAGTAATTTTTGACAGCACAGCTGTCATGTGTACAGACACGCAGTAGCTTCCACTGTACTTGGCGTCTGAGGACGCAATGAATGTGATGTTTTCTACCGTGGCTGTCGAAGGACATGCGGGATTAACCCACCGCGCATTCGAGATGCTCGGCACTTGACACATGCAAACTCAATCTCGCAAGAAGTCGGGTTAACAAGGCATCGCGAGATGCATCGAAATGCCTCAGCTTTTCCGATTATCAGTGCCATCCGTCCGAGGCGCTTGATTTGTGCATTGTGAAATCGAGAGCTAAGCCGAACAGCGTTCCATCATCGTGCAGGGGTTTGTGTGGATCGCAAACCGCACACGAGCTGGAACCGGAACTGTGGTATCTTGCACCGCCTCGCTGTGGCCAGGCTACGCTATCTGCTATTGATTATCGTGATGCGCGCAGTACTGACGCAAAGTTGCTGTGTTGGAGGTATGCGGCATTTGCTGCAGGTACCTCGTAATTGTTCCAGTAGACCTCGGAAAAGCATCACACGGTCTACGATTCAATCGCATGCCGGCGAAAAATAGGCCAAGACGTGGCTATAGCCGAAATGTGGCCAATGAAACAATGACGAAAGGTCGTTGAGCCTTTACCGCATCCAGCGAGCGTGAATGTGGGGTAAGTGCGATCAGCCCCTCCAGCCAATGCCAGCCCGCGCATTGCAGTTCACGCAGTCGTTACAATCGTCACGAGGGCTCCGTTGCAGCGAAAATGTCATCGACCATGACACAACAGTGACCGCAAACCTCCCCTTAGCTTTAGTTTTAGTTTTGGAAAATAGGAGATCCATGCGCATCGGCTTAAGATTCATCGGCCATAAAGCTGGTGGTTGTGGTTACACTTGCCGGGCGCTCTTTCCGAAGTCACCCAGCTCTCGTGCCCAGCTCCGCGTTATTTTCGTCCCTCGTGAGCCGACCGGCACTCCCACTACCCAAACACGCACCATTACCCAATCAGCTCTAGTAGCGCTAGCTTGTCCCCGGCCCAGCATTGCCAGACTGAGCGCAGACGACGTCGTCAGAATGGCTTCGAATGGTATTAAAGCTACCGAGGACCCCGTCATTCGAACAGCAAGCCCAGCTCCTTTGGCCCAAGACTTTGCCCGTCAACAGGTGTCAAAACAACAGCGTTCCAATTTCCACTCGTCTTCCATCTCTCCACTCATATCCAACACCATGGTTTCTCAAAGCGTCAACAAGACCAACCTCCACCCTTCCGGCGTTGCGTGCGTGACCCTGCCTTTCCAAGGTCAATTGACCTGAAATAGGTGAACAAAGACTGACATGCTTCTCAAAGGCCGAACAAGGAACACACGGAGATTGAAGAAGCTCTCCACGACAAGGCACACATTGACTATGACCGTGTAGCCATTGTAAGCTTGCCCCATGCATAAACCTCGATTCCAACACTAACAAGTCCACTAGATCGCCAACCCTTCAGTCGCTGCCCTCTACGAAGATGCGCTCGTATACGAGACTGGTTCAGCCATCACAGCTTCAGGCGCCCTCTCAGCATACTCAGGAGCGAAGACTGGCCGCTCACCCTCGGATAAGCGCATCGTCGAGGAAGACACGTCAAAAGACGATGTCTGGTGGGGCCCAGTCAACAAGCCGATGAAGACCGACGTAAGTGCTTCTCCGCATTCCCTAATCCCTTTAAACTTCTGCCTTACGTCAAACCGCGGTTTGGCTTGTGAAATTTTGGCGGCAGACGTCATGTACGCTAGCCACATACCCGATGGAGTTCGCATCCCTGCACTTGGCGGTTATGGGGCTCGGCTGCCCCGCATCTTTGCGCCTGCATGACGGATCAAGTTCCATCGATCCATGCGGAAGACCATCACGTGCGCATCTTGTTTCATTTGCTAATCTTGTTGTCTAGGTCTGGCGTATCAACCGTGAGCGTGCTATCGACTACCTCAACACCAGGAACCGCATCTACGTCGTCGATGGCTTTGCCGGCTGGGATGAGCGCTACAGGATACGCGTACGAGTCGTCTGCGCTCGTGCCTACCATGCTCTCTTCATGCGCAACATGTTGATCCGTCCTTCAAGAGAAGAACTGGAACACTTCGAGCCTGACTACACCATCTACAATGCTGGTGCTTTCCCTGCCAACAGGTACACGAGTGGTATGACCTCGTCAACATCCGTTGCCCTTAACTTTGCCGACAAGGAGATGGTTATCCTCGGTACCGAATACGCTGGTGAGATGTAAGCGACGCCCCTACATGAGCTTTTTGAGGCATGCACTGACATTATATGCCATCATTTAGGAAGAAGGGTATTTTCACTGTGCTCTACTACGAGATGCCCGTCAAGCACAACGTCCTCACTCTGCATTCGTCAGCGAACGAGGGTATCGAGAATAAGGATGTTACTGTTTTCTTCGGTCTTTCCGGAACCGGCAAGACCACTTTGTCTGCCGACCCCAAGCGTGCCTTGATCGGTGACGACGAGCACTGCTGGAGTGACACTGGTGTCTTCAACATTGAGGGTGGCTGCTACGCCAAGTGCATTGGTCTCTCTGCCGAGAAGGAGCCAGACATTTACGGCGCTATCCGCTTCGGATCCATCCTCGAGAACGTCGTTTTTGACCCTACAACCCGTGTTGTTGATTACGACGATGACACCCTGACCGAGAACACTCGCTGCGCCTACCCCATCGAATACATTGAGAACACCAAGATCCCCTGCATCTCAGACGGCCACCCCAAGAACATTGTCCTCCTTACCTGCGACGCTCGCGGTGTCCTTCCTCCTATCTCCAAGCTCAGCCCCGAGCAAACCATGTACCACTTTATCTCTGGTTACACCTCCAAGATGGCCGGTACCGAGCAGGGTATCACCGAGCCCCAAGCCACCTTCTCCTCTTGCTTCGCTCAACCCTTCCTCGCCCTGCACCCAATGCGCTACGCCAAAATGCTTGCGGAGAAGATTCAGCAACACGGCGCCAACGCCTGGCTCCTTAACACCGGCTGGGTCGGTGCCGGTGCCACCACAGGCGGCAAGGTAAGCTAAGACTCTCTAACAGATACATGCAAACACATGCTAATATTCCCCCTAGCGTTGCCCTCTCAAGTACACTCGTGCTATCCTCGACGCCATTCACTCTGGTGAGCTCGCCAACGTCGAATACGAAACCTACGAAACCTTCGGTCTCTCCGTCCCCAAGACCTGCCCCAACGTCCCTGACGAGCTGCTCAACCCCGCCAAGTCATGGAACGGTACCGCCGACTTCAAGGGTGAAGTCGAGAAGCTCGGCAAGCTCTTTATGGAGAACTTCAAGAAGTACGAAGACCAGGCCACCAAGGAAGTTATCGAGAGTGGTCCACACGTATGCTGCTGCCCCAAGCACTAGATGGTTGATTTCAGTTCCGACATATCTTTCTTACTTTTTTGACAGACTGACTAGCGGTTTTCCTTTACTATCTCGCGGTCGAGCGATCACTCCAATCGACGTCAGCGGCTATTCTTTTCCCCCTTGGTTATGGGCATAAAAAGCTCATGGATGGATGCAGGATATGATATCACGGTTTCCCTATCTTAATTGTTTGCTTGATGGACGTTCTGTTGTATGTATATACACCTTTGGCGTTGTTGTTCCAATTGTGTAGCATTGCATGGCTGGTGACGAGAAGAGAAGATAGCGTATTGGCTTCTAGATGGAGCGAGCCTCAGAGAGATACAAAATTTCATAATGTTCATTTTGACTTGCGATGTTGCGTAGTGAACCACGATACCGACGATTGTCAGTAGAAGGATGTTCATCGTCAACATACGTCACTGTGTCTCTTGAAAATATAGTCTATCTAAGATTTCCTTGTGCTATCAATATATGCATCCAAGAATACCTTTCAAATAGATTTCGTCAAGGATAACTCAGGTGGAATGAGTTTCGCCAATAAGATTAGAGTCGGCTATCCTGAACGAAATCATGGGCCAGAAACTTGTCTCTCTTCACGTTCTGTGGCGAGCCGTCAGATCCGGGGTTTCGATGCAGATGATTGCCCGTTCTGGAACCCTGCAGGAATGAAGTAACGAGGCTGCGCCCCGTCAGGCAACCAACACTATTGTCAGCCGACGGATAGTCATCGAAAGGAGCCGTGTAGTGGGCTGCAACATCATAAAAATCTTTTGCCTTGTCCTTTATGCACGTCGCATCAACGGTATAATATTCTCAAGTCGAATAGTTTACCAAGGCACGGCAGAGTAGCGTTCCCTAATCGACAATGTCACAGCAGGGTGGCACCTATCGCCCCCCGGGGTCTCTGTTGTCATATCAGATTCGCGTAGGTAATAGGACGTTGGGCTCAAAGCCCACGAGTAAAGAAGGTAACGCAGTTGTCCAGTCACACATCAAATCGTCTTACTCGACTGACTTTTGGTGGAAGCACACGATACCAACGTTTCGGAACCAAAGAGCGACGACCAACGTTCCGATAACGAGAAGGAACTCGGCGAAGAATGGGAGGTCGTTGAGTGGCCTGTTGTAGGCGACAAGGAAGAGCATGGCCCTTGTGACGGCTGCAGGACATATAGGAGTCAGTTCAAGCTGGAATTGGGCACTGGTAGTTGGAAGACAACTGTTTGCGACTGGGAGGCGAATGTTAGGGTTGCCTCGTGAATCCTGACTGCGTGCAATGTCTTGATGAGATGGATGGATTGTAAATGAACCACGGTACACACAACCATGACCATACTCAACCAACAATTTCTTGAGATTTAGTGCACAATGTGATAAGCGATCATTTTTTCAACACCTACTAAATGCTCACAAGGGTTATTTCCATCCCAACCATTTCTTCATCCCATAGGAGTCTATCACGACGCTCTCAAGTGCGGCAACAACAACACCCTCCTCTCTACCATCCCAACTGCCACAAAGAAGATCGGTCAGTTCCACAAAATCCCCTATATCAAAAGGCGATCATGTACATTCCGGCCCAACCCCACCAAGCAACCCAGTTCAACGTCTTCCTCCAAAACTTCTACTCGGACAAGACGATGAAAAGAGTATCTCGGCACAACTCCGCCTTGTCAATCTCGTTACCAACAGATCCAACGATCACCTCATCATCGTCAGCAACAAACCGATTCACATCAACTACACCCTCAACAGCGCTGGAGCTTTCTGACCAGGTCGCACACATTAAGAAGCTCGAGACCCTGACGAGGGAGCAGAATACCGAGCTTAAGCAGTATCGGAAACAACACAAGGCGATTGAGGTAGTCGAGGAGGAGAAGAGGTCGCTACAGGCGAAGCTGCGCAAGATGGATGACTTGGAACGTCGACTGGGTGAGGCTGAGTTGAGAATGCAGGTTCTAGAAGAAGAGCGCCATTCGTGGACGTCCATCGAGCCCACTGAATTCTTCTTCTTCCCCTTCTTCCCCTTCTTCCCCTTCTTCCTCTTCCTCCTCTTCCTCCTCTTCTTCACCACCAGCCCTGACTCTTGACTTGGAACCAATAGTACTATCCGAGAGATACGCACAGTCCCGAGCTTTCACAAGCTTGACTCCATCTACTTCGAATGCAAACAGATTAATGGCAAGCATGCTGCGAAGAGACAGTATAGAGCTTTCACTCATCCGGCTCAACAGGGCCAAGTCCTACTACTAGGCAAATCGGTCTTTCATACTGGGCCAGTGGGTTGTAGCGGTGGTTGAGAGTGCGGAAAACACGAGGGTCATGTGCCATGTAGGCATGAAAGATTTGACGAGAAAAGCGAAGAAGAACAGGAGCGAAAATGGAGCAAAGGTGCTCATACTTAGGTGGGATTTCAGAACAAAAGATAAGCAGAAGTTGGAACAGACCCGCAGCGTGTGACGTAAACCAGTGAACGAATGACTACACGGACGAAGCATTGGTCCTCTTTTTTAAAAACATATTCTGGTATTCAATCTAGAATAAAAACACCCCGCAAGAGCAAAAGCTAATCGTGCAAATGTGATATACGGTATATCTCCTCCATTTCCCATAGTAGTTTCGCAAAATGTGACAACCCCCCCAAACATTTCAGTACAAGATGGTACAAGGGCAGGTCATGATCTTGAGGTATTTTTGTTGTGTTAAACAGACCACGTAGCTCCTAGCTCGCGCTGGAACACCAAGAAACGCCAACATGATTAAGTGGGAATCGAAGGCATGGGGGAAATGCAAAGGTCTGGCCGTTGCCGTCAAGGCTTGGTGGTTTGACCAGGTGGTGGCTTGGGGACCATCTACCTCTTCCTAACGCAGAAGAAGAGACCAGTACGGCCAAGGAACCAAATACATCCGATGAAACGGACAATAGCAAGAGCAGCGGTAGCCCATAGAAGGGCCTGGAAGAAATGCGCGGTTCTGCCCGAGGCGCTAGACTGTTATTTTGTTAGTAATTATCATTCAGAGCGATCAGGGCAAAAACTTACAGAGAAACCAAAGCGGTCAAAGTTATCCTGGGTGATGACAACCGCAAGAGTGGCATTCGAACCGATCCAGGCCGTACACAAATGGGTACGGAAAGACTTGTAGGAATCCTCCAGCGTCTTCTCGTCACTCTCGACAGGCGGTACGTAAGGAGCAAGAGCGCGCTTGACGGTAGCTTCAAACTGGCTGTCGATGTCGGCTTGTGGTAGATCCGGTTCCTCAATGACGTTGGATTTACCGTCAGCACCCTTTTCTGTCTTGGCAGAAGGAAGCGCCTCTGCCTTGTCGGAACCCTTGGTACCCCAGGAAACGTCGTGCCAGTTGGAGAAGGCGTAGACGTTGAGAATGTTGACGTAGGACGACATGATGAGCAGGTATTGCGGGAACGAGGTGAACATGTGCCATGGATCCATGTACAGGAACGAGGCGACGTAGTAGAGACCAAAGGTAGCCGCAAGCGCGATGATGATAATACCGACTCCGCTGGACGAGAAGAAAGAATTGGCAAATGCTTCTGGTGACGAGGTATCGAGTTTCTGCGACGACGGGTTCGTGAATGCCTGGACAACGAGGTAGATGGACAGGATGACGATGTAGAACTGGATGAGAGCGAAGACGGAGAAAGAGACCAGGTAGGTCCACTTGGAACCCTTTGGACGGTTACCGAAGGCCAGAATAAATTGCAGGACCAGGAATGCCAGGTAGAGATAGGTGACGATGACGTTGAAGATGGGCGTGGCAGTGTTTCCGAATGGCCAGGCATCCCGATCATCGGTTTTGGTACCGACAAGTGACATGATGACGACAGTAGTGAGCCAGAAGGAAGCCAGGGAGAACCAAGCCATAATGGTTTGGAATATGTTGTAGAGCATTTGGATGTGCAGGAAGAACATGCGGACCAGGTTGTGGCCACTCTTGTACATGCGACCGAAATGCAGAAGAGAGTAGATACCGGCAGCGAAAGAACCGTTCAGCCAACGACGACGCTGACCGATGAATTCAGCAACACCTTCGGGAACATCGGTTTCACCCTTGGAGGCCTTGATGTAGGTAAGATGCCACTTGGAGCCAGCCTTGGCGACGAGTTCGAAACACAGAATACGATCCTCGGCCAAGAACATGTTCTTTTTGAAAATGTTCATGCCCTCGATACCCTTCTTTCCGAGAATCTTGGCGAGTGTGTGGTCACCGTGGAAGTACTGCTCGAGCGGCCTGCCCATGATGGCGCGGTATCGGTAGGCAGAGAAAGCACCAGGCAAGACAGACACGTATCCGAAGGAGGATTCTAGCGGCTTGTCGAGAATGTTACTGATCTTGTACTCGAAGTTCTGTGCGGCCACGAGCGGGTTGAGGAGGTTCTTCCAGCCCTTACCCAACATAGCGTGAATCTCACCACAAGCACCACCGAGATCCTTGTCGTTGTAGAAACCTTCCCAGAGGGCGAGAAGCGACTTGGGTCCAGGCTTTGTACCCGCGTCGAGCAGAATGCAGACTTCAGGGTTCAGGATACGACCAATGGCAGTGAAAAGCCATCTGTGCGAGTTGATCTTCTTGGTGTTCTTCTGCTTCAAGCAAAACATCATCTGGACAGGAGGAAGCGTGCTGGCGCTATCATCGTGCGGGCGAATGAGCTGCTGGTTGGGCGTGACGGACAATTGCGTGGTGTATTCAAACTTGGCTTGTTAGCTGGAAAGGATGAGATTGATGACGACGCAAACTTACAATGTGGGCAACAGTCTCGTTTCCGTCGATATCCTTCTTCATGACACCGTCCTGGTAAATACCGATGGTGGCGAGCAGGTCGAGAGTGCCCTTGTCGCAAGGGTCGATACCGTCGAAGACCAGGCACACAACAATCTTCTGCCAGGCTGGGCCACCCTTGTTCCAGAACTCGGATTTCTTCAGGTTGACAATGTCGCGGATGTTTTGCATGACACCGTGCAGAGTACGGGCGGTAAGAACCTTGTCTTCATTGTAGTAGGTGACGGCAATGAGCAGCTCTGTGTGACGGTTGTACATGGCAGGACGCAGATTGTAGCCATTCTTGAGGGTGAAGTCGTTGGGGTCGCATGTCGCGGCCGTGTCTGCAGCTGTTAGAGGCGAAGGGAAAAGTCGGGTAGAATGGAAGACTTACAGCGCATGTGTGTGAACTCCTCGCTGCCGCTCTCGAGGTCATTGCGGTACTTGGCCTGGATGGCGTTCTGGATGGCCGAAGGCACAGGGTAGTCGGCACTCAGGACGGAGCCCTGGACAAGCTTGACCTTACGTGTCATACCACGCTTGAGACCACCGGCGGCACCTCCGCCGGGCTGCTGTCGCTGCCTCCATGCCTCGGTTGAGCTGGTCTCGCTCCTCTGGTATGGTGATGGAGCTCGCTGAGGAGCGCCGAAGTCGCCCGGGGCGTCGTAACCGCCCGTCGCCGAGTAGGCAGAGCCATCGTGAGCTTGGCCGGGGTATTGTGTTGGCCTGTCGGTGGCATACGACTCGGTCAAGCTGTAGGTCGAGTGTGGGCGGACCTCAGGGTTGCCGTAGAAAGGGTCTGAGTGGGCGCCGGTAGGGTTCTCGTGCAGGAGCGAGCGACCAACTTCGTCGTCATGCTCCTGGCGGTCGTACTGGGTAGCTGTCAGTATGTGGTGCCTTTGCTGCCCGCGGGTTCAGGGGCGCCTACGCCAGTGTTGGGGTCTCCAAGGTTATAACCTTGGTTATTGTTGTACGCCATGACGTGCTGCAGTCCACGGGCCGGCGCTGCAGATGGCGATGTTTTCGAGAAAAAGGAATAGGCGGTGGAGAAGGATAGTGTTGAGATAGAGAAAAGTAGTCAGCGCACAACTCGGGGTGTCGCTTGATAAAGGTGGATGGAATGTCTGGGGCGCTTCAGGGCTGAGAAAGCTGAAGGGACGCGCGCTATACCCCTTGGAGCGGGATGGGGAGGGTTGCGCTAGGAAAACGGCCGCGCTGAAACACGACTTATTGGTCGACTCCAAGTGCTGCCAGGTTTCAGCTTGTAGGCGGGCGCTCCTTTAACGAAAGTACTTTCGTGGGACTGTCTCGACAAGAACGGGCAATCGCCTCTACTTGAATTCACTGACGACAGAAAACCTGCTGGCGGTGAAGCACACGAGTAGAGCACATGGCAGTCGCCGTCGTCTGTCAGTGTGGCGCTAGACCGGCCACGACGGCTAAAATTAGAGACAGGCCTTAATCAGCTCCACGCTTATACCTGCTCAGCCTCACCCAGAATCTACCTTTTTCGCTGTTGCCGGGCGTATACTGCGCAGCGACTATGCCCACATCTGCTTTGGTTTCACTCTGCAGACTGCCGTATGCACAACAACGTTCGCCGCTGCAAAGTGGCTTGACATGGACAAGATGGCTCCCGTCTCTGGCTGCGCGTCGAATGTCTCAAGCTAGGGGTAGTAGCACGGTCGACGTCAGCATCCTTCCAAGGTTGCTCCGCAGGCGGATCCACTCCCACAGATCTTCACGTTCTCTACAAAGGGTTACATGCATTGGCACTGTAACCCATGCTACCCAAGTATACGAGTGAATAGTCGGAGCGATTGATACTTTGAATAGGCCCGGTACATTTTCGGTTCGTCACTACACGTCGCCACATCAGTTTCTGCGCGCATAGCTGCATCGCTCCCACGGCGACTTTGTTTGGCTGCTGCTAAGGTCGCTCCATGGCAGTGCGTTGACAGGGTCCAGGCCGTTGGTGAGGTCTCCTATCCGCTGCAGTGGGTCGCCGTTGTAGGCTTGTTCCTGGACCCTTCATCTCTCCGCTGGCTCACATCTCTACCGCCATGCACTCGACACATTGGCAGCTCGATGCAGGCGCATGCTCTACATGGGTCTGTTACGCGCCGTCGGGCATTTAAGCTAGCTTCCAACAGCGATGCAGAGTCACTGCCATCAATTCTTCTCGACGTCGCATTTGTCCAAATGAACACCATAGGACGCCCATGGGCAAGAGCCTGTGCGCTTCACCCAAGACATCACGTGCCACCTTATCCATTAGTTCCTAGCTGTTCATAAGAAGACACTCTCAAGTACCCCCTCTCGGTAGCGACGGGAAAGCAATGCGATGCGTTCCTTCCTGCCTTCCTTTTTGCTTGAACATGACAGCGCGGGGAAGGGCAGCTCGCACCTTCCGTCATCCGCGTCTCAACAAAACACAAACTTGTATACTTCTTATGGATGTCAGCCACACCACCAAAATAGTTCGTTTTCCTTTCCGGAAAGCAGCACGTTGATATTTCCCACTCTTGGCCCGCGTCATATCCGGTACGACTGCCCCGCATCGTGGTACTGTCCATTATAGTTGAGACTGCAGTGACTGAACCTCCTGTTCGCTCTCTACCAAGCTTCCAACCCAGTCCTCGTAGACCCGCCATATCCACTAAGCGGTACGAGCCGCCATGGCCTCAGCCGCACCACTAGTGGGCCTACCGAGATCCAAGTCCAAGGCTTCATCAGCATCCGCCACGGCCACCGCCGTGTCAGCAGCTGGGGCTCACGTCAGTGCTTCTCAATGGAGAGCGCCCGATAACCCCGACTTTGTTCATCCGGATCATGTAATTCCACTACCGAGCTATCCAAGTGCGGACAATCTCATCATTGTTTGCTGCCATGCCATCTTCCTTCCGAATGCAGATGACGCCAGCTTCCCACTGCGCAGTCCTCACTACGAGCCTAATTGGCTGCTAGCGCCCTTCCAAAAGTCAGACGAGGCAACAGGCAAGATAGGCGAGCACGAGACGTTCCTGGCTCATGTTAAAGCTGGTATCGATGCTTTGACTGTTGGAACGGACGCAGAGCACCCTCCTAAGAGCATCCTCGTCCTCAGTGGTGGAGCCACTAAACGCTCTGAATCTCTGAAGACGGAGGCACGCTCATACTATCATGCAGCCCTAGCAGAAGAGTTGGCAGAAGGCCATATGGGTGGTGGACGAACCCATCGATTACACAATAGAGGCTATATCTTACTGGAAGAACAAGCGACCGATTCATTCCAAAACCTATTATTCAGCATCCTTTTGTTCAGAAAAGCTACAGGCAACTACCCAAAACGAATCCGCGTCATTACACATGCTTTCAAGGCGAGACGCTTCCTAGATCTACATGCCCCAGCGATACGATGGCCAAAAGAGCGTATCCAGGTTCAGGGCATCGACCCGGTTATGTCGAGCAGCGAGTTAAGAAGCACACTTCGTGGGGAGGAAGAGAATGGATATACGGCATGGGAAAGTGATCCTTTAGGTACCGGAGATCTTCTAGGCGGAAAGAGACAGCTTCGTGGATGGGATGCTAGCAAAGGGGCCAAGCACTTTCAAGGTCTCGAAGATAGTGTCAAAGAGTTATTTCAGGGCACGGTATCTGACGAACTGCCGTGGATAAGCTAGCCTAAACGATGCTCAAGTCTTACATACACCCTACCTATAGTACTTCTCATTGTCGAAGTTCCTTGTTCGGTCGCCCGCAAAGTACTACATCTTCTCCTAGTGGTATCCATTTCGTGTCTTTCAATCTCGTCACAGGCAACCGCTTCGATCCGCCGTCTGGACATACTTGGACACCACCTTTCCCGAGCCATGTCGGGGCAATCGTAACAATGACAGAGTCTACTAGAGCATAGGCAGGGCCTTGTCCTAGTATATCGTTGATGACGAAGCCACCGCCTTCGATCATTACACTTCCGATACCCCGACACGACAAAGCGTCAAGAATGAGGTGCCACGATGAACCCGCCGTAGCGACACACTTGGCTGAGAGGTCCAGAACTATCACTTCGCCACCTACACTTTCGAGAACGGCTCGTTGAGAGTCAGATGGCTCCATGCACGTCACAATGTAAGGTGCCTTTCCCTTTCCTTCTTTAGCTAGTCTCATCACTTTATTTTCTTCGCTGAATTCCCATCGCCCATGTGGATCAACGACAATCGGCCTTGGCTGCCCTTCAAGTCCTTCACCACCATAGCCACCCACACCTTCGATCCGGCAATTCAACGATGGGTTGTCGGCAATAGCTGTCCCAGCTCCGACCAGAATGGCATCATGTCTTGATCTCAGAAAATGCGTCATGGCTTTCGATTGCGGACCGGATAGCGCTGTCTGTACTCCTGGTGCAATTGCTAGTTGGCTATCTAGGGAAGTGGCGAATGTTAAGGTGACGAAGGGCTTGGGGGATGTGAGCCGTGGGAGTCGGGATGATGGCAGAGGAGGTAGATAGTCCACGATTTGTTCGCTCTCTGGACCTGAGAATTGTAACGCATCTCTTGCCGGGGCTTCCATCATTCTTGTCGTGACTGTTTTTCTTTTTTCCTGCGGAAGTTTGGCTGGTGTTCTTACAGACATCGGAGGACCTTACGTGATGACTAAGTCGTGGAGTGGGCGTCGCCGCCGCCCCACGTCGAATGCACGGACGGAGGCCCGACGATCGTGGCAGCCTACCCAACTTATCCTCACTCTCACGTACAATTTCCCTAGGCCCTTCTTCTTGTTTGGCGTTTGTGGTTTCGCAGGTATCTGTACTTGCGCCTCCTCTACTTACCCTCACCTGTCTCGCGACCGTCCGCTGGTCCCCTACCTCTCGCTGGCCAATTGCCCCGCGATCCTCTCCGGCGCGCCCATCATAAAGCACACCCACGCGATTATATCAATACAGGCAGTAGCCCAGACGCCACCAAAAATACCGCCAAGATGATGAAAATATGGTCTATGGTAGGTCTCTACCCTTCTGGGACCGCAAGTGCCGGGTCGTACGACAGCAAAGGCTAACACCCCTTGCAGAAGAAGCAGCAGCAGCAGGACGAGGCTGCAGCAGCTGCCTCGAGCAAGAAGAAGAAGGTCACCCCAGCCCAGTTACGCACACAGAAAGGTATCGCCATCCCTACTTCACCCACATCTTCACGCGCAAAAGCTAACGCGATAGCAGATCTCGAAGAGTTATCCCTTGGTACAACAATGAAGACGCACTTCCCTAACCCCGACGATATCCTTAACTTCGAGCTCACAATCGACCCCGACGAGGGCATGTACAAGGGCGGACGCTTCAGGTTCGACTTCAAGATCAACCAGAACTTCCCTCACGACCCGCCAAAAGTCAAGTGCACACAGAAGATTTACCACCCGAACATCGACCTTGAGGGAAACGTCTGCTTGAACATTCTGCGAGAAGACTGGAAGCCGGTGTTGAACTTGAATGCGGTTGTTGTTGGGTTACAATTCCTGTTCCTTGAGCCAAACGCGTCGGACCCGCTGAACAAGGAGGCTGCGGAGGATCTCAAGCAGAACCGAGAGGGCTTCAAGCGCAATGTGCGCGCATCGCTCGGCGGTGGAACTGTCAAGGGACAGAGCTTTGATCGCGTGCTCAAATGAGCAGCATCGTATATGGCTAGAGCAACACGAAGCTCTTCCGCAGCAATACCCCAAAGCGTCAGTTGGAGGATGGATACATCACGACGGAGCGATACCGAGCCAAGGGTTCGATGCAGGATGTGGACTGACGCTTGGGGGAGGATCGGGGGTGGGCATGTCTACACCTTAGCGACTGCATGCAGGGTCTGGCGCATCATGTAGAAGGTGCATGGCGTATCACACGGGGTGCAATATAGTCTTCCAAGATCTCTCACAATATAGATGCATATTTGCATACAAAAAATGACTCAATGTGCGTGTGGTACTTGATGTGACTGTGGTATCTGCCCAAACTATGGCGTCACCGACAGACCTAGTCCGCATCCGTCTTTTAACACGGGATCGAGGCAACGGCCACACGCAAACCGTACTGCGAAACGCTGCACCCACTGCTCGCTGTATACATGTCAAAGGCACCAAGCCCGCCGCTAGGACTGCGGTGAGCACCACTAGGTTATCGGCCGCCACGCATCACCAGTATGACTGGATCCAGCGCTGCGTCCAACCATCAGAACCGCACTCGGAGAGACGCATTCCTCCCCGAAGACCCTTCAGCCCCCCTGCTAGCGCTCAATCACCATGCTGTGATTGGTCAGTCACGCGAACGGCCTGGTCTGGGGCAGCGATAATCGGCATGGTCCAAGCTCCCGTGCTCGAAATTCTGGGTGTGGTCAAGATCTCATCAGCGAGTTTAAAAGCTGTCATCCCCGCTTGACAATTCCAATTCCTCAAGATACCCCCTTTCACACACACATTCACAATGGCTTCAAGACCCGTTTCCCGCGCTCTGCGCCAAACCGCCCGCCAATTGGCTGCTACTCCCGCTCAGAAGCGCACTTTCGTGTCTGCTCTGAATGCTGGTGCCAAGAAGGCTGCTCCCCGCGCGGCTGTTACAAGCCAGTTCCAGCAGACTCGTGGTATCAAGACCATTGACTTCGCTGGTACCAAGGAGACTGTCTACGGTAAGTTTTGAGCTCCGTTGGATGTCAATTGAGGACATATTGTTGCATTGGACTGAGAGCTGACGTATGCCGAACAGAGCGTGATGACTGGCCAAAGGAGAAGCTCCTTGAGTACTTCAAGAACGACACCATGGCCATGATTGGCTACGGCTCCCAAGGTCACGGCCAGGGTCTCAACATGCGCGACAATGGCCTCAACGTCATCGTCGGTGTACGGAAGAACGGTGCTTCATGGAAGGAGGCTGAGGCGGATGGCTGGGTTCCCGGCAAGAACCTGTTCGACATCGACGAGGCCATTGCCAAGTCGACCATTGTCATGAACCTTCTCTCCGACGCCGCTCAGTCCGAGACCTGGCCCGCCATCAAGCCCCAGCTCAAGGGCAAGGTAAGCGGGAATCATCGGACCTGACAAGTATGCACACTAACGACAACAGACTCTCTACTTCTCCCACGGCTTCTCCCCCGTCTTCAAGGACCTCACCAAGGTCGAAGTCCCCACCGACATTGACGTCATCCTCGTCGCTCCCAAGGGTTCCGGCCGTACTGTCCGCACCCTCTTCCGTGAGGGCCGTGGTATCAACTCATCCATCGCCGTCTTCCAAGATGTCACCGGCAAGGCCAAGGAGAAGGCTGTCGCCCTCGGTGTTGCCGTCGGTTCCGGATACATGTACGAGACCACCTTCGAGAAGGAGGTCTACTCCGACCTGTACGGTGAGCGTGGCTGCCTGATGGGCGGTATCCACGGCATGTTCCTCGCCCAATACGAAGTCCTCCGTGAGCGCGGCCACAGCCCCTCTGAGGCTTTCAACGAGACTGTCGAGGAGGCTACACAGTCTTTGTACCCCTTGATCGGCGCCAACGGCATGGACTACATGTACGCCGCCTGCTCCACCACCGCCCGCCGTGGTGCCCTCGACTGGAGCCCACGCTTCAAGGCCGCCCTTAAGCCCGTCTTCAACGACCTCTACACTGCTGTTGCCGACGGTAGCGAGACCAAGCGTAGCTTGGAGTACAACTCGCAGCCCGACTACCGTCAGAAGTACGACGCGGAGCTTAAGGAGATTGACGAGTTGGAGATCTGGAGGGCCGGAAAGGCTGTTCGCTCCCTCAGGCCCGAGAACGCCAAGTAGATGCGTCTCGGCATGCGAGGTTGAGCTTGGATAGTCAAGACAAAAAGATGTGTAGATAGTGTCATGTTTACGATTACGGATGTACTCTGGCGTTTGATATGGGCGCTGATATTCCATGCTTGCTGCATTGACAGCGACGGTAAATCAAAAAGAACGAGAGAACTAAAAGGGAATGGCTTGGTAAAAGCGAAATGAATACCTTTTAAGACAGTTGTTGTTCTGGTTCGCTTATGATGTCCAATGTGACTTGTGATTCCTTTACCTTGAACTCAGTGAATAGCTTTGCTAGAGCTAGGGGCTTGGTTTGGTATATCTGACCATCACTAACACGTTGTCGATGCTTCTTCATGTTGCATTGTATCTTTCCATCCAGCTAGGCGCGAATAGTAAAACGGTTGTGGGCGGTGTAGGCGTAAGAAAGCCGGTTATGGTGTATACATTCGTCTCTACATTATACATTTACATGAATCGAAGATACCATTCTTTGTCTTTGTAGCCATCCTTCTCCGTTCCAATATTCAGATTTGGTGCTTCTGTCCACAGCTTACTGATATTCAATCTCGCGTACCGCTCCTCTCTATCCGCCGTTCTAGCTAGCGCGAAAACCGCACTGCCGAACTCATAGCATGGTTTCCCTGCGGTACTTGGAGGGACAATCAGTTCGCTCTTAATGACGGGTATGAGAGTACGCTGCCACACTAGATTCGTATTCGCATCTGGTTTCAGTATTTCGGCTTGTGAGCTCGCAAGCAGGCGTTCGTCGTGGGTGCGAGAACCAAGTATAGCAATACCGCTAGCGCCGGCATTGGAACAGATGAGTGCAGAGTCCTGAGTCGTTACCACGCCTTCAGGAAAAGGCTGGCCGCTGTGAGTGGATGAGGAAGAAGAGAGGTCAGAGACGTGCGCGTGGGTGGGCAAAACTTCACCGTGCTGGTGGCCGCGGCCTTGGATTGCAAAGCCGCCTTGCACGGCGTGAATCTTTACCGCAGTAGATCCGTTGTTGGTGATGCGGTGCCAGCGGAAGTACCAGTCTGGCCATTGTTCACAAGGTGGAATGATGTGAGTTGATACAGAAATGTCCGCGTCGGCCCAAGGCTTCCATGTACTCGTAAGGCAGGTTCTCCTCGACCAGGACGTGAGCTTGCGTTCTATAGACACATCAACGAAGCCATGATTTGTGACTTTCCACGGTACTCGCCAGGTCTCGCCATCGTCTTTACTCAGTGCGAGGGTGCTGTCTGGCGCGATTTGTTGTATCAATGAACCAGTAGGCACGCTGAAGCCAAAGTGCGAAGAGTATGCATATTTTCCATATTTGGCCTCCGTCGCTTTGAGGGGCCAGGGACAAAACTGTCCCGCCGAGAGGAGGAAGTGGTGGTTTGCTTGACTGCAGAGGATATGCATTGGCGGTTTGATCGGCATGATATTCCACGGACCACCATAGGGCAAGCGTCTCTCCTTCGAAGTCCAGAACGGATGGTCTTCTGGCAATCCCAGTGCCAGGAATGACTTCAGAGCCCAATATGGAGACTGTGGACTGTTGTAATTTTCGCTCATGTACATGTTTGGGTAGGTGAAGCCGATTGTCAAGGTACCGTCCATGTTGAACATGTCATCTTTAGTGCTCCACCATCGAAAGTGCCGAAGGAGAAGACCTTTGACGTCACACCATTCTCTTATTGGCACTACTGGTAGTTCCAACTCTGCGAAAGCCGCGGCTGACCAGAACCCAGCGAATGCGAATCGATATGTCAGACTTCGGCCAAAAGGTATTGCAGCACCTAGTTTGTGTCAGGTAGCGTCAGAGCTTTGATAACGATAATGGGCTTACCATTAGTATCAAAATATCGCCAAAACGACTTGGCAAACTCCTGTGCTCGGCCCCGGAACCTTGCACATCGCTCTGGATCCAAGTCACTTGCCATCTTCACATATATGAGCTGAGAAAACTGTATAGCAAAGCTTCCAGAATAGTAGTCTGCCTGCCTTCCCTCATCACTCCATATTCCATCGGCTAACCAACCCTCACCTAGGTAGAATTGCTCCATGAGATCTAGATCCGCTTTCATGGCATCGAGTGCGTTGTCTTTGGGTGCGCCACATACTTTGATCAGCGCTAGGTTAGTCATGACGCGGAACCAGAGCCAATTTGTGGTGGGAAAGTCCTTTCCATTGATGGTCCCCAGCCACGCCGTAATGTTTCTCTTCGCGTCTTCGGTCTGCGAATGGAACATGGTGTCTGGTGCTGCTAGTAGTGCGAACGAAATGATTTCCATCTCGACCATCCGTTGGTCTCGCAGTACGACTGGGCCCCAGTATTCGGCATGGTTTGGATCGGTTCCGTTGGCTAGACCTGTGGCGTAGGGTTTGATGAGCTCGTTGTACTCGTCTGCGGAGACGATGTTTGAGTGCATGAGCGTGCCGACTGCCCATAGTGGCCGGGCATAGCCTTCGAGCTGGGCTGCGACATCGTCGAAATGAGTACCAGTCACCAACGGGAGTTTGATTCGGGCACCGTGGGGTGATTGATACGGCTTCAATGCGCGGAGGAGAGCTATCGCTGCCTTCTTAAAGTCGGCGTGTGTCTTGAAAGAGTTGTTCGAAAACCCGTCCAACGAAGGCATTGTGTCTAGCACGCTTTCAAGGGCTTTCAGCGCGTAATGACGCGAGATTTTGCTGTGTGCTTGCTGTTTTACACGTTCTGTAGTCTCTCAAGTCCAGTGGGTCCATGTTCGTGTCCCGCTCTGAGCGGCTCGACTGGCAAAGTCATCTTCGTGCCATTTTCGCTTCGCACCTGAATTGGCAGCGCATCCGATATACACCTGGACGTCGTGCATCGTCATCCCTTGCCTGTCACGGGTTGATGGAATTGGGTGGCTCACGCCGTGGAGTGATCAGCCGAAAGAAGGGTTAGCCTCGCGGGGTCCGAGTGTGGAGAAACCTTGATTTATCCCGATGCCCGCCGCTCCTGCATCATCCACATTTGCTTCTTCCTGACCAGCGCTTTTGCGATGTCGTGCTGATGTCGGCTGGGTGGACTAATTACTCGGTTGGCAATGGCAGCCAAGCAGGCGAGGATGATGGCCCCGTCTCGGTAGGTGGTGACACTCCTGCGTGTGTTAGCTGCAAGCAACGCAAGCTGCGATGCTCGCGCGAGACACCCTCGTGCTCGCATTGCCTGAGGCTGTGTAAGTAAACTTGTTGAATGGCGCTATCTTGCGTCGCTGACATGCGCCATAGCTTCCGAGTGTGTCTATCAGCCAAAGAACAAGCCTGGCCTTAAACCCGGAGCAGTTGAGGCGTTGACCCGCCGCGTTGGTATGGTAGTACTCCTTCTACGATGAACTCAATCTCACGCAGGTTAGCTTTTCTGGAGAGAATACTTTTGGATGACGCTGGAAATATCCGACCCCGGTATAGAGATGATGACGCTGCGACCAATGGGCATACAGTCGCCCATGCAGGACCTGATACCGTAAAAGAGAGCCCTGCGCCTCGTGTTGAAGAGCCACCACAATGTGTTGCGCCTACTCCCAAGTTCAACCACATTCAACAATCCACCGAGGATCGATCAACAGGCCTTGAAGAAGAGAGCGGTGCGATCAACCCGTTGAAACGAAGACATGAGATGCCAATTGCTGAGAGCTGGCTTCTGCCCTTTGAAGACGTTGATATTGCACAATACCTGCCATCTCAACCACTTCTCGAAAAGATTGCAGACTTCTTCTGTATCTCATTTCATCATTGGATCCCGTACATTCATAAGGCGAGACTCCAAACACGAGTGCGTCAAGGTTGTCAGGATCCAGGCCATGTGCTAGTCCTGCATGCTTTGGTTGCAGTCGCTTTACGGCACATGGATCCCAACGTAATATATCTGGACAATGACCAGATAGTTCAACAAACCAGGGTGTCACGTATGATTGTAGAAACTCATGCAATGCGCAATGTCACCATCGAAAGTCTACAGGCCCTGATCTTCCTAGTCTTTGATCTTCTCAACGACGGACAAACGCAAAGGGCATGGCCCTTGATTGGATCCCTTACGAGGACTATCGACTACCTTCAACTTACTACCGAGCTATCGACATCGCAGTCAGGGTCGCTAATGACGCCGGTGCGACTGGTAAAACCCTCCAATGATTGGACGGAATTGGAGGAAAGGCGAAGACTGTTTTGGATTATCTTCCTATTGGATAGATTCTGCTCGGTATCTACTGGATGGAATACGAGCCTCACTGCGGACGACGTGCACCGTCGCTTGCCAGCCGATGGCGGATTCTTTACGAGAGAGGAACCAGTGACCACACCATACTTCGGTATCTGGAACAAGGCGGCTGCTCGTATCGGGCGCTCATTGGCAAATGTACCTGCGCAATACAACGACGAGGACTCAGCAATCGATCACTTGCCTCAAGGGGCTAGTCCTAACTCTGCTAACGGTTACATCGACGCTTCCAAGCTCGGCGCATTCGCATATTGCGTCGAAGCAACCGAAAGTCTAAGTCAGGTAACGACGTTCTTCCTTCAACAACGGATCAACTGGCAAGACAAGGAGCATGCGGTCAGTTGGTTGACGCGCTTCAAAGAGCTAGATCTTAGGCTTGTACAATGGAAAATCTTCTTACCACCTAGATGGAAGGACTCGAACATCTCGTCAGATAGGACTGTGGTCGACATGGATCCAAACCTTACACTAGCACATATCACACATAACACGTCAATGATTCTGCTGCATCACCCAATTGGATATCCACCCCGTGGATGGAACGACTTCGTCGCATTGCCGAAAGAATGTAGCGTTCAGACTTGCGAGCTTGCCGCTGTGGAGTCTTCAAACATCGTCGACAAATTCCTTACCCATACACCTATACCATTTGTTAACGTACAGTTCTCGTTCTGTGCATTCATTGCCGCCAAGGCGTTACTCTTCGAACACCAGGCCGCTCGTAAACCTTTACGTTCCGAATTCCACCGCCTGATCCGCAATCTCGAGGAGATGTCGGCAAGATGGAGGGGGCGGGACACAGATGATGCAAAACCGGAAAACCAAGCTGGAACATACGCAAAGCACCTTAAGCGCCTACTTGAAGCCTGCCAAAACGACGCCAATTTCCGATTCGACTTTTACGACCACAACGGACTCACTCTCGACCCACAAAACCATGCTAGTCCGACATATGCCGCTACCCCAAAAGCCCGCTCCAGAAGTCTTGCACACGAACGTTCGCTGCTCAGGAACCATGGTCGCAACAATAGCTTTAACAGTTCCCAGTCGACTCTTAGTCCCAGACGCATACCACCAGACATGAACAGAAACACAGCCATGCCATCTCCAAGTACGTACGAGCAGCACCACCCACGTCTACCAACAGCCCATGCGATATCACCCACCGCACCACCTCCAATATATCAATCACCGCAAGTGCAGGCTAGTTACCCTGGTCATACTCCATCACATTATGCACCAGGCGGCACGCCCGTGCCAGGATCTGGTCCGTCTCTTGCTCCATATGGCGCGGCTGGTACGACGGCGAATCACCAGAGCGTGCAAGATCAATCTCTGCTTAATCTGTCTGACGCGTTCATGGACTCTGGTTTCTTGGATATGGACCGCGTTATTACATTTGAAGATGCGAACTTTTTCTTACCAGGCGATGCATTTCGCTGGAGTTAATTTGTTCGGGCAGTTGAGAAACACTTTGACAGCAAGGCTGGAATTAATGCGCAAGGTCAACACCGGTCAGCGCACGTGATTGTTTACCGCAACATGTGCGACACACAGCCTTTACTAGTGCATTTTGGCGCAGCTGCGAGATTGGAGATGTGCCTTCGGATCTGCTGGAGGCCTGAAGTTCGTTGGGTAACGGTCATTGGTTGGTGGAACGGCTGCGCCTCAACTTTGAACATCTAAGTAAGAACAGAAGTCTGTCTCCACTGCACTCTGATAGTCCTATGTTCTCTCTCGCAGCATGGACAATGATTCCGGCGCAGAAGCTGTTAAAAGTTGGCGGTCGATTCTTACGATTATCGTCTTTGTTTTGATTAGTGAGTGATGGATAGCTGCCTGATGTTGTTGAAGACGACCGGTCTGACCGTCATAGATCTGCCGATACTACACCCATTTAGCCTGCCAGTCTATATCCCACATTTGGTTGCGGAATCTTTATTCTACATCCTCAGCGTCTTGCGCATAGTGTCATGGCAAAGAGAAGGTGGTGCAGCTAAACGGTCGAGGTTCACCAGATACACGGTACCGGTCAACTATGTTACAGCGCCTCTCGCCGCAGTATCATTTCTACTAGCTGCTACAGTCATTGGCAAACACGAGCTCATGTTGGGTATTATAGGCGATGATGATACCGGTATCTGCCCGTACGACCTAGTCATTGTCTTCCTCAGTCTAGGCTATATTGCCAATTCACTTGGAGCAGCTGGCTTAGTCCGGTGGGTGGTATTCAAAGCCGTGAGACTCGGGAAAGTAGGTCAACGCTTATATCTCTACCTCTACATCTGCTTCTTCAGCATAGGAGCCTTTCTTGGAAACGATCCCATCATGGTCCTGTTTCTCTCCTACTTTGTTCGGGTCGCTTCGAACATCAAACACCCACGAGCATGGATACACACACAATTCTGCATCGCCAACATCGCAACCGGGATCTTGGTATCATCAAATCCTACTAACCTCGTGCTCGCAAATGCGTTCAAGATACATTTTATTAGCTTTACAGCGAATATGGTTGTGCCAGTCTTTGCCACAACAGTTCTGCTCTTTCCCTTCCTACTTTATATCGTATTTGCCGACGAAAGTCTTATCCCGGCGTCAGTGAAGGCTCACGAGCTACCCGAGGAAGCAAAGAATAAAAGGCCAGCGAATCCCAATATTCCGACTGTACGCGAAAGGCCTGCTGACGGCGAAAGTCTTTGGTTCGAAGACGAAGACGCGGAACTGGAGCATATCTTGAATCCTTTTCTCGACAAAAAAGGGTTTCTTCTCGGATCCATAATCTTCATCGTAACGATCATCCTGCTCCTGGCCTTGAACGCTGTATATCTTTCGAAAGGTGGCAATACTGACTTCTGGGTCACTCTGCCAGCTGCTGTCACCATGCTCTGTTTGGATCTTACCATGGGCTGGATGAACAGGGCAGCAACACGTGCTATCGCTCGACAGGGAAGGGGTCGTGCTGAAAGTCTCAACGTCAATGGAAAAGCCTCAATAACCAAGAATATGGACCTAACTCATGATGATCACAGCATATCTGACACAGATCTGCGTTCGCACCAGGAAAATATCTCTCTAGGAAGATTGGCCTCAGGGAGCGTCGATGCGAGAAGGGAGGCTGAAATCTCCAACGGAAAATCTACCGAAGAGCCTCCATTAGAAAACACAGCCAACAAGGATTTGGGGACGACTCAGCAGCAGCAGCAGCAGCAGCAGCAGCAGCAGCAGCAGCAAATACCCATGACTGGCGTGCAGCGGGCGCTCACAAATCTAGGGATCGCAGAAACCTCTTACCCGACATCCGAGCTTCGACATGGAGATGGTCATGTTACGGTATTCAAGTTCCTAGAAGACCGGTACGTGTGGTGTCAAGAGACCTTCCCCACAACGACCGTCTGTCTACGTCAGCTTCCATACGATCTCGTCCCCTTCGCGTTCTGCATGTTCATCTTTGTGGAGGCTCTCATCAGCAATGGTTGGGTTCGTGTATTTGCTCACTGGTGGGACCTCTGGGCTACCAAGTCTGGACCTGTCGGATGCATTGCAGGGATGGGTCTCCTGGGCGTGGTGCTATCTAGCGTAAGTATCGCCAGGTCATAGATGTGAACGGAATGACTAAGCCAACACAGTTTGCGGGGACGAATATTGGGGCATGCTTACTACTATCGCGTGTCATACAAGCATGGCAAGAGACACATGAAAGAAGCGGGACACCAATAAGCGAAAGAATGTTCTGGGGATCAGTCTATAGTCTCTCACTTGGTGTGAATTACGGCGCTTTCGGTATGTCGATGAGTGCATCGCTAACCGGTATCATGTGGAGAACTGTGCTCATGAAGGAGAAGATCAGAGTTCGGCCACTGGAGTTCTGGCGGGTGAACGTTCCGATCATTGCTTTTTCCATGGTAGTTGCTCTCACAGTTCTCGTTGGAGAAACGTATATCATTAGAGATAACAGTCCTCATCGAAATTAACATTATCATCCCCGGATCAGCTTGAAATATAGTCGCAACCCGTAGACGCTGAATCCCAGCATGTGGTGATCCATGGATGATCTGCAAATCGCCGCGCGACACCTTGCGCGTTGATCAGGCCCCCACGCTTACTTTGCATAGCCTCAAAAGGCGGCGAAGCCAGGTATTTGTGTGTTCCAAGTTCAACAGCCTGATACTTAAGTATCTCAGCTCTTTGTCTCAATGTTTCCACTCGTTCTCGGTTCTTGCACACTTATTAACATCTAGCATACAGCCATGGCCAGGTTGAGCGGTGGCTTTCAGAAGCTCCATACCAAGCTAAGCGGGTGGAGGAGATTAGCCATCTTGAACATCGGTGCTATGGTTCTCCTGACGCTATTACTATGCGGTTTCACCGTTGCTTCGATTCTCAAGACAGACCTATCAGAGATAGCCAACGAGGGTTACAATTACGACGAAGCCAGTCGAGGGGATGCTGTGCGCAACACCTTTCTGTTCCATTCCTCGCTCTGCACCGAACCTACGGCACGGAATGTCAATACAGTTCTCCATTTGATCGTCAACGCCGTGTCCAGCGCAGTCCTGGCATCATCCAATTTCTTCTCGCAGGTACTCAGCTCGCCCTCACGTGCAGAAGTGGATGTGTCGCACGCGCGAGGAAGATCACTCGACGTTGGAGTCTTATCATGGCGGAACGCACTGGGTTTGTCTCCCTTCAAGACGGTGGCTTGGGTCGCACTGTTGGTCACGTCACTGCCTCTGCATTTGCTCTTTAATAGTGCCATACTGCAATCGGCCGATTCTGATGGCTCCCATGCGCAAGACGGTGGCAACTGTTATGTGGGCGTCTCGAACCCACTTCTCTTGACCGTTACGCTAGCTTGTCTAGTGAAAGTAATCATCTGCGTTATGATAGTGTGGGTCTTAGGTCCCCAGGAGTCCTTAGTCACGCCTGGAGACGCTGTGGCGTCGTTCATCTCCGTCCCAGACTCGTATACCGCCGACAGACTGGAGTTGCTTGTAAAACATCCGAAGCATAAGGCTGACAGTGGTAGCCCAATACTGTGGCGGTATACTCCTCTAAGACGATCATCCTGCATTTCGCGCTGGACATGGACATACACATACGCCTTTTTCGTTGCTTGCATTCTGGTCGCAGCTGGCGTTCTAGGGAAGGAATATCAAATGATAAAGAATGACGAGATGTAAGTTCCTATCCCAGATTATCGCACGCATAAGCTAAGCCATACGATAGGGACCAGCAATCCCTTCGCGATTCTAGCTCTCCCCTCACGATCATGCCACCCAACTCCTCCGTCCCCTTTATCACCACGGTGCTCCTGGCCAATATTCCGCAGCTATTACTCTCAGTCTGGTATTTTGCGTACAACGCCATCTTGACTCGGTTACAACTCAGCCAAGAATGGGCTCTGTACTCCACGTCATTCCGGCCTCTTCGTGTCTCTCAGCCCAGGTACTTTCCCAGTATTCCTTCTGACTCTTATGACTCTGCATGAGGCCATTTATGATGGCAAAGAAAGGTGCAAAACGGTATGCTGACGAAAGCTCTGATTAGAGGCCAACAAGTTGGAACTTATAGGCTCCAGCTCCCGTATAAATACAGTATCCTTCTTATAATCCTCAGTGCAGTTCTGCACTTCCTGCTTTCTGAGAGCTCGTTCGTGGTCCTCTTTACAGATGGTATGTATCTAGACAAAGATGCAATATATAGGTTCAACACAAAGGCACTAACATTAGATATCAGACGATGGGATTGTAGGACTGGACGGTTCGAAGGACTACCAAACCCTGCCATATGACTTGTATGTCGTCTGGGGTCTATCTCCAACATACTTGGCCGGACTGCTAGCCCTGGCCATCGCCGCCATTCAGATTCCCTGGCTTCTGGGTTTATTACGAATGCCCGGGCACATGCCGCCCGTTGGATCAGACTCACGGGCCATAGCAGCTGCTTGCCATGTCTCACCGTTGTCCAAAGCTCCACTTGATGAGCAAAAGGGTGGGGAAGGAGAAGGCTACGAGCCCGTGTCTATGGCCGATGAAGAAGGACATGGTGGTTTGCTAGCCGTGTCTAGAAGTCTTCTCTCATGGGGTGTAGTGAAGATGCCTCAAGCTTGGTACGATGCTCATGTCGATCGGCGAAATGCACCAGAAAGCCGCCGGGCGGTGGAGCATCTAAGCTTCGGCACTTCACTTGATGGTGTAAAGAAGCCTATCAGGGGACGCTTATACTCATAGTCACGCATCAAGTACAAGAAGAATGAACAAAACGAAAGAAAACTGTACTCATTTCAGATATGTTGCCCATAAGACAAGACTTTTAAGCGTTATCGAAATCCCTATTGCTACCCTCAACAGACTTGTTCCACTATGACTGCCTGATGAATCAGAATGACTAACTGGAAGCATCGTCACCCTCTGGGCTCAGAGCGGACCATGACTAGTCAGTCCACATGTCCTCAAATAAGTCTTCGACCTCGGGTCCACTCGAACGTTCGTCTTCAGGCTGAAAAAGATTCGACATGCCCTCAAATAGATCCTCGACTTCAACCCTCCTCGATCCTTCGTCTTCAGTCTGATTCAGATCTTCAGCGTCCGGCAGAAAGAGATCTGGGTGATGCCGACGTAAGTGTTCAAGGTCAGATCGAAGCGGCCGACAAATGTCTTCAAGCTCAAGTCAAAGCGACTCAGCTAGTTCATAATTTCTTACCAGCTCAGCCTCACTCGAATCTTCATCCTCAGCCTGATTCAGGTCTTCACCGTGGTGTGGGAAGAATTCTGGGTAAAGCCGACCAATGTGCTCCAGGTTGGTTTCAAGCGACTCAATTGATTGTCCCACACCTCCTGGGAGGGACAAATCCGGGCGAAGTCGATAGAAAAACTCGACTTCAGCTCGGAGCGACTCATGCGCTTGCTCTGCTCTCGCCTCATAGCGTCGAGCCATGTCATACTGAGCCTCTAACTGTGCTTGCTCTATCCGCTGCTGTCGAAGCGTTTCGTCCTGATAATCTTCTATAGTCATTCCCGCACGGCTTTCCATATTTTCATCATCACGTACTATCGCACCCGTGACCTCGATGGGATGAAGTCCGTCGTCCAATGACTCATCCTCATCATGCTCGGAGATGTCCTGATGCACCACCTCATCCATATGCCGACGAGCCATACTAAGAACAGCGGCCGTGAAAGCCTCTTGAATCCTGTTAACCAGCCTGTCCATTGATGCGTTCATAGGAAAGAGCTCTGCGCGACAATTTGGACAGCTATTCCCACTCTTCAGCCAAACTTCTAGACAATGGCGACCAAAGACGCAGTTACAGCAACAGATCATCATGATGGGGGTATGGTCGTCGTGTTGTTCGGCTTGGAGGTCGGTCTCGCTTGTTGTGGTAGCAACGTTGACTACAACGCTATGCTGTCCAAGGGGTACGCTCATCACACTGGTATATCTGTATGATGTATAAACGTTGGCAGATTGAGTGGGCCCAGGCGAAGTTTCGTCAAGTTGTTCAATGCAGATGGGACAGTCGTGCTTTTCATCGAGTTCGAGACAGGACTCGACGCCCTCGGCGAAGAAGGTTGCTTTGCTGGTGAAGACAGGCATGGTTGCTAACGATGTTGGTGGAGTTGGGATTGGTTGTGGGTGTAGTGAGAATCGGATCTTGTAGTGGGTGATATGCTCTCTGTAACTACGTAGTTGAGAGAATCTTTTATAACTGCTAGAAAGCGCATAGTGCACAGACTTCGTGCCTCCATTGTTAGGGAAGACAGTATTATAACGGCTTTCACTCACCAGTAGGCTAGGCGCTACCATCGAAACCGGGTACGCGAATATGTGCTTTCACGTTCTAGCCAGCTCTCCTCTTCTCAGCGTTGACATGAGTGACAGCCATCCGGATGATAGTCTCGTCAAGGCCGGCCATCATTGTTGCGCAACAATAACATGGCTACCTGATGTTCGACTTTTCCACCTTTTCGACTCGTGAATGTTCCACCTCTTCACTCTTCAGAGACGTTCGCCCAATCTCACGACTTGGTACGATCTGTATCTCATAACGGACTCGTCATTGCAAACTTTGTGTCGCAAGACCAGGGTAAGACCACAAAGTCTAAACCTCCTTTTGCTGCGTGCTTGATCTCTGTTCGACTCAATCCCATACCCGCTACCAGCGTCTGGCATTCACCCTGGACCATTACTCCCTCTTACACCCACTTCTGGATATTATTTGGAATGAGCTTCCTGAACATGTCCAATTGCTTCGCATGAACCGCCATCTTCACGTCCAGTATCTCAGGTCGTAACTGCAGCGTCCTATCAACACGACGTTGGTTCCCCCCAAAGACGACAGTATAATCCGGCAAGCGTGTATACGGAGGAATGACCGAAGAAGCCGTAACGGTGCAGAACTATTGATTATTAGTTTCCCCACCACACCTCTCACACACGTTCCAAAAGCAAAAATAGAACATGTATATGGACATACCTTTCCAATTATAGTCCCCCTCCCCACCACAGCACCAACCTCAATCACACTCCCCTCACCCACCTCGGCAGCCTCAACAACAGCCCCACTATCCACAACCACATTCCTCCCCAGAACCGTCCCTTCACTACGCATCGACTCAACCCGCATATGCGCACTACTTCGCGCAGGCGGTGGTGCCATACTCCCCCTCTTGCCCTCCTCATCACCCATACCCACACCCACTTTCGCCCGCTCAAACACCACACATCCCTCACCCAGCACGACCGGCGCCACGGCGCTGCTGAGCTTACTATGTGGGTGTAACACGGTATTTGGGCCAATGGTCACGGGATGCGTGCCGGTGATTTGCGCGTGTTGAGCGATGAGGACGGTGGAGTCGAGGAAGATTGATGAGGGTTTGGGTAGGAGGGATGTACGTTTTGGCGCTGTGGAGGAGCGGCGGTGGTCGGGCGCGGGGCGGGAGGGAGCGGGCTGGGCGGACATGGTGAGTTTGTTGTGGTGGTTATCGATTGGTTATCAGGTTGGATGTTGGTGGTAGGGCTGGCGGGAGGTCCGACGCGAGACGCGCTGCTGAATTAGCGTATCGCCGGATCACGTGAGTGATACTATATGTTGTTTTGTATACGTTGAGGGTATGCGCAACAGGCAAAGACGACCCGAAGGATTGAAGTTTTGGGAATCGAAGTGTGAACCTTCCGAGGCAGGGTCTGCTGTCTTCGTAGCCATGCCTGTCTCGCTGTGGTTATTCCTTACTGCAACCCTTAGTAGTGATGACCCCCGGCTATCGATGACGAGCCACGCAGTCAAATGCAAAATATGATATACAGGAGTACAGAATCGGAGGGGGTATCTCATAACCATGCATTACTACATACATCGTACCAATTCATCGCAAAAGCCTCACATGGATGCCGCACACCGATCAACAAACAGCGTGCATCAACCTGCTAACAGCACAGAACCATCTGTCCCGCGCCATACCAGCCCCATCGAGTGAATAACAAACAAGCTAAACCACGACTCTGCTTCCGTCTTCCTTACCATCGTCGCCGCTTCCCCTCCTCTCCAACTCCGGACTACCCACCTTCTCGGGACTGGCAACTTTCACCGGACTCCTTCTCCCCACCTCCTGCCCCTCAACTTCGATGCGGCCTAGTATGTTTTCCTCGTCGTCACCCACGCCCTCCATACTATGCAGACTGTCGTCATCGGACGAGTCCTCGATGCCTTCAAACATGCGTGCGAAGCGCTGATGCCCCTCACGCTCCTCTTGTTCCTGAGTTTTCCCGGGAGCTGATGGGTCGTCGGGGTCCTCCTCTGCTTCGCGCGTCGATTCAAGTTGGGCTTTGCGTTGCGCGAGTCGGAGAGCAAATTGGCGACGGGCCCGCGAGGGAGGGATTTGAAGCGGCGGGGGAGCAGTGGGCTGAAAGAACAAGCAGTGTTAGCAGAGAACACATATCGGTGTGGCTTCGTTCGGCGGCGATGGAACGCAAACAAAAGACAAGACTACATGGAAAGTACGATACAGGAGGAAACACAAATAGACGGAGAAGCGGGGAGAAAGAAGAGGACAGCATACCAGATCATACGGGAGACCAATCATCCAAGTTGGTACGTCACACAAAGGAGATGAGAATAAGAATCACATCTCACGATGCGTATTACTACATGTATCATACACCCTGTCGGATGGCGCAAGGAATGTATGTACACAAGGGATGATGGCTGGCCCCATAGATCTAGTATGCGAGCCGTCTGTCTGTTCCAGCTCATGATACAAACAACGTATAAGAAAAGGAAACGCACCAAAGGCGGGAGAAACGATCGTGGTATAGTGTGTGTTATGGTCGGGGCGCTCGGACATTATCGATAGTCCATATCAGCATCGTCAAATGAGATTTCACCCACTTGTTCGGAGTCGTCGACAGGCCCCTGCCGTTGTTCCCGCTCTCTCTCGGTATCGACATCGTCCATGTCTTCGTCTTCTTCGTCACTCGAGTTAGTAAAGCCACTAAGCAAGGAGCCTCCGCTGAAGGTGTACCCACCACCCTCAGTGTCACCAGCATTGGTGAGCTCCATGCTGTCGAGGCCTATGTTGCCGTTGTTGGCAAGGCTTGCATTGGAGAGCCCGCCACTGTCGCCTCCAAAGTTGTTGTTCGCAGCGTTGACGGCATTGAGCACGGCCTGTCGGGGCCCAACACTCATATCAGGTCGTACGCCTCCGAGAATGGCGTTGTCGCGTTCTCGTGTCTCAGCTAGAATGTGTTCCACGTAGTATACCCATTCTTGAGCGTGAACCTTCTCCAGGACCATCTGTGATAACACTTCGTCGGTGTGTCGTTCTGTAAACTTCAACACCTCTTCCGCAATCAGCGTGAGATGACCCATGTATCCCAGTCGCATGGATGTTTCCTTATGCGACTTGTCGCTCTCCTGCTGCCCTTTGATGATGCGCTCGGTAATGCCTCCGTTGTCGAAGAGATCGATCGCTAGTTGTCGGTTGTATCCACGGTCCATCTGCCCGTTGAAGACTTGCTGAACAACATCATACACTACATTGTGCAGGAAGTTGTTCCATGGGAAGCGAAAGAAGAAGTCCTGTAACACTTAGGAAAAATGGTTCACAATGAGGGTAAAATGGTACTTACCAGTATCGTTGGTACAACCTTGTTCTCAACGAATGTAATCTTCAACAAATCGCCAACAACGGGCGTGCCGTCAATGTCGATTTCAAAGCCTACAGTCTCCTCTGCACTACCAAATACAACGGAACGTACGCTCTGAGTCTCGTCGATAGGAGTAATCTCGGACAGATCTGATCCCGCTACTGGTGCTGTGAAGCGCGAGGTGTCGATGCTGGCTGTTTCAGCTTTGCTTTCGCGGTTCTTACCCGCAAACAATGGAGCTGGCTTGTCATCTGGATGAGGTGAAAGACTCGCAGATTGGTCAACGTTTGAATCTGAGGTTTGGCTAAGCTGCTGGGTTAGGAGAGATGGCGGGGTCTTGACATCGGTTTTGGGTTCAGTCTCGGACTTGTCGGTCTGTTCGGGCTCAGTTGGTTCCTGGCGATCATTCATGACGGTATCCGTATCCAATTCAAGCTCATCAACCTTGGCAGTCAGTCCTGCTGATGTAGGCGACTCAGCATCGTCCGCGGGCTTGGGCGGCGACGGAGCAGTCTCAGCAGGTGCTGCACTGTCCTTGGGCGGCGTCAGAGGCTCGTCAACAAACTCGCCGTCATCGTCCGCGGTCTTGGTAGCGGACGAATCTTTTGGCGCGTCTCTTGGTTCAACCTTTGGTGAGGGTTCCAATGGCTCTCCAATCTGCTCCTTCTCGGTCGCAGTGTCTTTGGAGTCCTCGGGAATAACCTCCGGCGCAACGACTTTCTCAAAGTCGTCTTCCGAGCTGTTTTGTACATGCAGGGGTTTTATCTCGGCAGGGGAGTCCATGGATGGTGCGCGCGCATGATGGAAGCCCTGGCTGTCGACGCTGGTAGAAAAGTCGCCCATGTTGCCAGCGTTTGCCGAAGTCAATTTACCGTCTGCTTTCAGACGTTCCCGCTCAGCGTCGCGTCTTCTAACTTCGGCTTCGCTTCCCCGTTCGTTGAGTAGTGCCATGTTACTGCAATGTAGCAACTCGGCCATCAACTCGCAGGTCTTGAAACGATCAAAGCCGAGTGGCTCGATCTTCTCGCCAAAGGCTGTCTTGAGCTCTCGCTTCTTCTTGGTAGTGCTGCCATCGCGCTGTGTCACGATCTGGCTCGAACTATTGACCAGCTCCATGAATTGCGGGATGTGGTTCGCGAACTGACGAAGCAGCGTTCCTAGATAGATGGGGTCTGAATTCTTGGGTACCGGCCCGATTTGATTCTCCAGGTCGTAGTCAGAGTTGTTCTTTCTGATGACCTCGATAATGATGCCCACACCGACTGTCAGTGGGTTGCCACCTTGAAGCATGAAGTCTATCAATTGCTTCAGACATTGCTCGGACACCAATTGGCGCGTAAGCTCGTTGGGCCCGATGACGGATTGATCTTGTGTGGTAGCGTTTGCGGATATGGTGATGATGGCCTTGAGGAAGTCACCAGCGGATGTTTGTGTAGAAGTAGATTGTTCGGGGGCGAGGAACGAGATCAGACGGGGTATGAGGTTCTGCTGTTGTAACCACTGCAGTGTTGTTAGCTCTGCCTGCGAGGACATGTGGGTGGAATGGCTTACGTCAACAATGCCTTGTCCGCCTTCACTCTTCTCTAGGCTGATGATCTTCAGCAGCAGGTCCATGATGACAGGGCAGTCGACATGCTGCAACATGTCTGTCACAACGTTGTCCAACGACTTGAAGAACTCGAGCATCTCCTCCATCTTGCGGTCGAGCAGCGACTCGTTGACCTTGGTGAAGTAGCCAGCTTGTACAGGATCGAGGGGCGCAGGCTGCTTGATGTAGGCCCAGAACTGTCGCAAAGTGTCCTGGTTCTCGAGGACAGCCTCGGATATGGACCATACTTCGGAGGACAGGATCTCGCATGACACATAGGCATACTTCATGCGCTGTCGCTCCTCCTTGCTTTCTTCGCTATCGCCAGCATCGGACTTTGTGGTGGACGTCGAGCGTGCCCTGACTTTGCCGAAAAAGCCCGTCCGGCTGGGACTCCGGGCCTCGTGCGCAGGCTCATTGGATGTGTCGTCGTCTGGTTCCTTGGGCCTTGCGGCGATAACGTAGCGCAGCAGGCGCTCCAAGACATTCTCATCGCGAAGGTATTCTATCAGCTTCGAGTTCTGCTGCTTGAGCTCCTGTATGAGATCCGACTCGTCCAGCAGCTCCTCGACAGTCACGTCGGGCTTGTCGAGGATGCTGTCGAGCGACGACAGCTGCGCGTACCCGCCGAAGCGCCAAAACATGGTGGTTGCGGTGGTTTGCGGCTACAAGGGCGGGGCAGGGGAAGGGTCGGGCGAGGCACTCGAGAGCTGTTGCAGCTGCGTGGGGCACATGCGTAGATTTACTGCGGCGACCAATGCGTCATAGATAAAGGGGAATGGCGGTGCAACGGCTGCTGGAATGGTCAGCGGCGGGCTTTGTTAGCAGAGAGAGAGAGCGAGAGAGGCTCGAGTGAGACAGAGGGCGCGTGTTCGTGGCTTGGGCTGGGTTGCATGCGTGGGACAGAGGTACCTACTAGCGAACACCAGGCCGCGGGGAACGAAGGCAATGGCAAGCGAAAAGCGCGCGAGACTCCAATCGACCCATGCACCGACTGTTGGTGAAGCGTCGTTACAGACACAGATGCGGAAAACCTGTGTATTTCCTCAAGGCAGTAGTGTTGTGGGTATTGTTGGGTTTGGTGGTGACAGCTCAAGGCTAGAAGCTGCGTAGTACGGGTAGCGTGCGCCGCAGATCACTTGCACCTCCCTGATATCGACCACGGCAGACGGCAGAATACTAGCACCTCATGCTCGTTGCCTTGGTTGCTGGCTCGCCCGCCAGTATTGCGCCAGTATTGCATCGCCAAATTGGACGGCCGTTTACCTGAATCCATGCTACCATATATACCATGCATCAGCTGTGTGATGAGTTGTTGAATCCTGCGTCGCATCGCATGCCGGCATCCGTCTACAAGACGCTCTTTTTTCCGTCCTGCATTATATAACCTTGGAATACTGTTGAAGTACTTTGCGCCCTACATGTACACTATGCTTTTTCTTTCTCTTATCATACTAGCTTTCGATAAGCGAACACCTTCCCGATGTCACAATAAACATTCAATGTGCTTCTTCGTATAGCGCGTGTGGCAACCATCTTTGGATCTTCAGGGTTGAGAGATCCACTGCGAGCACGTGACAATCAATGACGTTAGCGGGAACTGCCGGAGCTACGACCATCGTTTGGTGCCTGCCATTCACCCCACACTCGCCAGCACACTCCACGCCCGCTCTCCTACCTCGACTACACACCACGAACCTTTAGTGGACCGCCGAACACTCCCTCTCCGCCAACATGAACCGCCTTTTCGGAGCCAAGAGCAGCGCGCCCAAACCGACACTCAACAGCGCCATCTCCAATGTACGCTACACATACTAGGCAGCACCCTCCGCACACTAATAGACCCAGGTCGACACACGCATAGAAAGCATCGACGTCAAGCTGGCGAAGCTTAATGCCGAGCTCTCCACCTACCAGCAGAAGCTCGCCAAGATGCGCGACGGCCCCGGCAAAACAGCCATCAAACAAAAAGCCCTCAAAGTCCTCCAGCAACGGAAACAATACGAAGCGCAGCGCGACCAGCTGCAGGCGCAGTCGTGGAATATGGAGCAGGCCGGCATGATGCAAGACAACCTCAAAAACACAATGACTACCATCGACGCCATGAAGACGACGACCAAGGAGCTACGGAAGCAGTACGGCAAGGTCAATATCGATAAAATCGATAAGCTTCAGGACGAGATGGCGGATCTTATGGATATGGGAAATGATATACAAGATGCCATAAGCCGCAGCTACGATGTGCCAGAGGACGTGGACGAGTCAGAGTTGGATGCTGAGCTGGAGGCATTGGGTGATGAGGTCGACTTTGAGGGCATCGGAGAGTCGTCAAGCATGCCGAGTTATATGCTGGACGATGCTGCGCCACCCCAGTTCATCGACGAAGCGCCTACAACTGGCAACAAGGTCAAGGAAGCTGCAGGCTGATGAAAGAAGTGTCTGCGCATATACCTCAGATTGCATGGCATCAGGCGTGTCAACGAGTGTCCCTAGCTTGTTCGCCATTAAACTTCCAGCCGAAATATGGCCATGGATCCGCAATAGTTGCCTTGCGCATATTGAATGATAAAGCACGGGTCGGCCTGAACAAATTCTTCCGTTGGGAATGAACAACAACAATCAGCGGATTGGTAGGATGCAGATCGGAACTCGGTGATCAACAGGCCTTGGAAATGCCTAACACCGGTATCGTGTATGGGACGACTGAAAACGTACCCGGTACGCAACACAATAGATGGCTAGCTCGGCGACACAACCGCGAAGGATAGCTTACATCAATTAATGTATAACTTACAATTTGCGTGTCTGCCTATGCACGAAAGAAAAAAAACTTCTATTGTCTGGCCTCGCATGTACCTGATATGCAAAGGAGTGTTCTATCAAGTCATTTGCAAACTTTGTAAGAGTTGCGTCTAGCTAATCATTGTAGCATGGTTGGATCGTATTACTGCGGACCGAGCGTCGCCAGTGGCATGCCAGAGTTCAAACGTTCAATGACTCGACATTCGTCAACCAGCGTTGTCGGCGCAATCATTGTGCTGGACACAAATAACCCTAGCCCTAGTTTTGTTAACTTCAATCATTTCGACGATACCTAAGCGCTACCTAATTCTGTTTATTACCGACCGACACCATCACTCCCTTGAGAACCTTCGCAGTTTCTCCTCCCGAGCGTACTTCAACGCCTCGCCCATCCAGGCGACGTTCTCGTCTCCAATCAGAGCCTTCACGAAGGCGACCAGTAATAAATAGAATAGGTAGCGCTTAGGTATCGTCGAAATGAGTGAAATCAACAAAATACAAAAATGGATGACACTCCGCCAACTCACACTGTGATACAATACGCACAGTTGAGCCTATATACACCAAATAGCGTATTGAGCACGAGGAGAAGATGCTCAAGCGACTCCCATACCCGCAAATACCAAAGCAGCAATGTTCATGAGAACAATAACGCCCCAAATGACGACTGCGAACGCCGTAGTGACCCAGTGGTTTCGCATTTGCACATAGCCATCTGCTGTAACATCCGTGTCTCTCTCCCCATTGTCGTCGGGTCTTACAGCGACTTTCATGTACTGCGCTCGGCAAGTGAACCAAATAAGCGGTGCGCTGACAAAAGGAAGAATCACACTCAGTGCGAACTGGCTGCCATTCAAGGCCTTGCTTAGCCCATCTTGTCCGACCGAACCGGCGATGATGATCGAGGGCGTGATGCTGATGGATCGTGTTATGAGGCGACGAAGCCATGGTTTCATCGTCCAGTTCAACTGGCCTTCCGAGACCATCTGTCCAGCAATGGTGCACACGATTCCAGCCGAGGTACCAGAAAGAAGCAATGCCAGCGCAAAAATAGTACCGGCAACTGGCGCGATCGACCGGGACAACAGTTTGTGGATAGAGAACAAATCGGCGTCTGTCGCTTCGGACTGACCATACAGCGAAGCGCCAGACACAATGAGAATGGCTGAGTTGACGAAAAGAGCAAAGGTGAAGAGAGATATGGCAAGCTCTGCGATACTGTAGGACATGCAGTGCTTGATGGCTGCAAGGGAAGGCCTGTACTTCAGCTCGTCTGAAAGAGAATTCTCGTCGGTATCGCGAAAGGAGGTGGAGTTATTTTGGTCGTCGTACTCGCGTAGGCGTGGCTGAACAATGCCGCTACCAAGGTAGAGGCTGTGAGGCATAACCGTGGCGCCCAAAATACCACAGGCTTGGTATAAACTGCACCTACTTAGTAAGTGTACCCCATAGAACGATGTATAGTACTCACGCTTGCGACTTGACTAAAGTAGAAGATGGAACGAAACCATCGAAGACTTCACCGACTGAGGCGTGGATCTTGCTGAGTTCAAAACAGAAACATATTACAACACCGAGCACGAGTAGTGCTACGAAATACTCGAATCCGCGAAGGGCACGCATAGTGCCAGAAGGGGAGTAGAAGATAAGAATGATCAAAACATCCACGATAGATAGTGCGCACCCGGCGACTAAAGGGACTTTGATGAGAATGTTCAAAGCAATGGCTGTACCAATCACCTATACAGGTTAGCATAGGCTAGAAGCAGGAGAATGGAGACTCACTTCAGCGATATCTGTTGCGATGATGGCTGACTCTGCAAAGAAATAAAGCGTATAGTTCATCCACCGCGGAAGATGAGCCCTGCAGTTCTCTGCGAGGTTCATGCCGGTGACGGAACCTAGTTTGATGCAGAGCGATTGCAAGAAGATGGCGAAAATATTAGACATTAGTACGATGAAGAGAAGTTTGTACTCGAAAGAAGCACCAGCTGCAACGTCGGTCGCGTAGTTTCCTTGAACTAGTCAGCGTTTCCTTGATACTTTTAGATGATTGTTGCAGCTCGCGCAGCTGCGCAACTGCGCAACTTCGCCATCTACAGATCATGGCTCACCAGGGTCGATGTATGCCACGGCAACCATGAAGCCAGGTCCTACAAACTTCAAGTACTTGCGGACAACTTCAATGGCGCCACCCAAGATACCCCCGCGACGCTTCTGTCGATCGACATTTTGTTCTTCGTTGAAGATGGCAGACGGTCTGATGGCCGTACTAGCAATGTCATGGTCCACACTCCCCGTTGCATCGCTCCTCCTGCGCAAGCCGTCGAAAGCTTTAGGTTGCAATTGACCATCCTCTTCAGTCGCTTGCCGACGATCTATCGCTATGTCGTTATCCATGTTGTGACAATCTATTCGGTTATCATCTCTGGCCCTTGCGTTCGCCAAGTATCCTAGATCCGCCCTCGTCGTCGCATCCGTGTTGAGCGCATTCGGGTTCTGATTGTATCCTTCCGGAAATTCCGGATCCGTGCGCGAAGGACAATTCATCGCGAGTATTTGGGTGGGCGCACGAAACAGCGTCCAGCTCCACCTTAACACCGATGTATCAAAGTCAAGTTGACAATGTATAGTGATTGATGTAAGGAGTTTCCAAGACTTTGACAGGATTATTGTGGGGTGATGGCGTCGCCGGGTACTGCGGCTCCGAGTTGGCGCATTCTAGTTACGGGGTTATTGTGTCCGTGCATCAAGGACGCGTAAACGACTCGTCTTTTAGAAGACTAGACCTACGGTGATAAGTCAGAATCTCATCATCAACTCTAGTTCGATAGAGATCTAGTGCCGAGGATCAGGCATATGGAGCCCTACAACTACTACACGACGACGAGTACCAGAATGTGCGGGGTGTTAGAAATATCGTACTACTCAAGCTAGTTTTCTAACTAAATACTAGTGCTCTTTTCGGTCCTATGCTTGAGACTACAACTTGACGACAAACCGCGTCCTTAAGGTTTCTCCATATCGGTAGAACAGCCATGGAACAGGCGTGAACGCAAGAGTAATGAAACCCAAGACACTGTTACCCCAGCCGAGGCCCAGTTTGTCATACAACGGCGCTGCAACAAGGCCCAGAAACGCGCCGAATGGGGAGCGCACAAGAAGATTAGCAGCGAGAGCCGAAGCTGCGGCTTCTGCACCAAACGAGTCCACGAGGTATATCTGGCCAGGTATGACAACGAACAGAGATCCAAAGCCGATGATGAGAGTACCCAAGATAGGGACGATCCAGTGGACGTGGTGGTAGGCGCTCCAGCCGTACATGAAGCAGCCCAGCGGTGTGATGGGCCCAAACCACTTCATTAAGATGAGACGCTGCTCTGGCTTGCTGACAGTGCCACCCTGCTTCTGCCCGAGGAGTTTGTCGCTGAGAATTGAGAAGACCACCAGGCCGAGAAACATGCCGATCCCGAGACCGAGGTATGCCAGCCCTGATGTCCCTTCATCGAAGCCGTAGACTCCCTGGAAGACAGTAGGGAAGGTGGTGAAGAGAAGGAAGATGAGACCGAATAGCACACCAGTGTAGAGAGATATGAGCAGGACAACGGGCGAAAAGAGGAGCATCTTAAACGGCCGTGCAATAGCACGGACGAGGACCTGGCTAGGCGTCTCTTTCTTAGCTTTATCCGGCTCGAGCCTCATACCCTCGGCGTCCTTCGACGACCGCTTGGCTTTTCTGCGTAAGAGAACAGCAGCATTGGTTTCGCGCATGAAGAACATGGTGGCCAAACCGATGATACCAGACTGAACGCGATACCGATTAGCAGTTGAGCGTTTATTATCCGGCCAGGATGACCTACCATGATCAAGATGATTCGGAACGTCCAGCGCCAATTGGTGTACTGCGACACATAGCCTCCGATGATCGGGCCAAGCACCTATGTGGTCAGCATTTAAATACAAAGGGTCGTCCCGACTGGAAATCAAACGTACAGGTCCCAAAATTGGTCCCATCGCGAACAGGGCCATTGCCTTGCCTCTCTTCTCCTGAGGAGTAATGTCTGCGACCGTACCGCCGCCAATGGTCATTGGCCCCGAGGCAGCGCAGCCGCAAAGGAATCGGAAGACAAGAAACATGGAAACGTTGGTACTGAAGGCGCATCCCAAAGTGAAGGCGATGTAGACGGCATTGCAAGCGTTGTAAATGATGAGTCGGCCGTACAGCTCGGACAGAGGCGCGAGGAGAAGAGGGCCAAATGCAAAGCCCAGCACGTAGAGACTGACAGTCATGGCCTCGACAGTGGAGTTGGTGATGTTGAATTCCTTGGCAAGCTGGGGTGCTCCAGGGGCGAACATAGTAGCCGCCAAGTTGCTGAAGTTCACAAGTTAGCACCCATGCGCTGGTCTCAGGATCACAATAGGTCAGTACTTACGCTGTGAGAGTAAAGATGCTGACAATGGCTACATGGAAATTCTTCTTCGGCGCTGGCCAGTTCAGGGGGTTTTCAGCGCTGTTGGGGTCACCCCAAGGATCGCTCATAGACTCCGTATGTAGTTGAGCAATCGAGGAGTGCTGCTCACTGCCCACTTCTGGATCACGGTCGCCAGCAGTTGAATGAGCCATTGCACGTCAGATATCGATCGATCTGAGTGCCTGGCTGTTCTTGCTATGCAGGTTGCAGCACGAACATTGGAAGCAGTACGGCTCTCTTGAAGGCTTCCTCGCCTTCTTGGTCGTAAAAGGAAGTCCGCGGACCTGTCATTTGCTCCGGTTGCATAAAAACGCCAAGCCAGAAACGGACGTGAATCTTTTGGTTCTCCGAGCAAATGATGGTGAGACTGGGCGGCCAAATGCAGTAAGTCCGTGGAGCACCGGAGCGGAGGTAGGCGGGGCGGAGCACGATCGCGGGGCGGGCCTTCGGGTTGTAAGCCGCGTCGCCAGGCTGATTCTGACACGCATGAGTTTTAGCAGGAAGCTTGCCTCTACCTCGCCGACAATGTCAGAATCAAACGGACCTCAACTCCCAGAGTGGGGGCCGGGCAAGACGGCCAGAGGCAGGGCCCGCTTACCCTCCAGCAGGCGTCGCGAGCGACCTCAGTTCTCCTGCAACCTTTGCAGGCAGAGAAAGTAAGCTCACCACAACCTATACTCACTCGCCTAACAGAAGGGAGCAAGAGCTAACACTAATCTTATCAGACTGCGATGCGACAGACAGCTTCCCTGCGCATCGTGTGTGCAGCGTGGGTTGAGCCTCTCGTGTTCATACGCTCAATCAGCGGCGCGCCCGGTTGGTGCTGAACAACCTGTCCGCACGGTACAAGATCGAATCCAGCAGCTCGAGGACTTAGTGGTGGACCTGATGCAAGGAACATTGGCAAGCCACGCGGCCCAGCCTGGCCAGGCCCTCTCAACGTCGCATTTGCCGAGTCCGTTGCTCATGACAAATCAGTCTGGCACGGACAGAGTTATGGAGACTGACAACAGCACCTCACCTGGATCTGAAGCGGGCAGTCTGCAACTGACTAGTTCTGGTACCAATTATGTCAACAGTTCTCATTGGGCGGCAGTTTTGAATGGAATCGCAGAACTCAAGGACCATTTCGAGAGTGAAAGGAACAGTCCTGCCAGCACCGATTTTCACGATCTTTCGATTCCTGAGCGAACAGGCCCACGGCTGCTCTATGGCTGTAGCAAATTTCCCACCAGGCAAGAAGTCATCGAGTCTATCCCTCCACGGCAAGCCGTAGATCGCCTGGTGTCGCGCTATTTTAGCTCCTTTGAGATGTCTACGGGTCAGTATTGTTCAAAAGTGAAACTTATTGTGAAACTGACAGCGGGATGCAGCTGTGTTGCACAGCGCTCAATTTCTGGAAGAGGTAGGCCAACGGTTTGCCTAGCTGCAACTCGATTGCTAACATCGCCAAGTACGAAAACTTCTGGAAGGATCCATCCGCAACTCCAGTCATATGGCTTGGTTTACTGTTCACCATCATGTGTCTGGCGGCGCAGTTTCAGATATCGAGGCTTGACCCTAACAGCCAGACTCCAGCGACTCCCTCGACAGAGCATGATCTCGAGAACATGGTGGAGACATTTAAGGACAAAATTGTGCAATGTCTGATTCTGGGGGAATATGCCAAAGGTGGCCCGCACGTGCTCGAAACGCTCCTCCTATACATTGCAGTTGAGCTCTTCTCTCGAAACGACGCCGAGATTGGGGTTTGGATCCTCTTAGGCACCGCGGTTCAGCTCGCAATGTACATGGGATATCATAAGGACCCAAAACATTTTCGAGAGATGTCGCCTTTTGTGGGAGAGATGCGAAAGAGGGTCTGGGCAACAATCGTCGAGCTTGATATTGGCATTTCCGCTCAGATGGGCCTTCCCCGGCTGATCAAGCAATGGCAGACGGACACGGTGGAACCTGCAAATCTTCAAGACAGTGACTTCAATAAGACAACCAAGGAGATGCCTGCAGCTCGGCCAGAGAACGATCTCACTCCTATGCTATATCGGCTGGTAAAGGGCCGAATGATGTCGACGATCGGCTTCATCTGGGACTTTGCAGCCAACACAAGGTCTTACACGTACGCAGATGTCATGGGCATGGACACGAAGCTGCGAGGGACCTATGTCTCCATCCCCGAGTGCCTCAAATGGCGATCAATGGCGCAATGCATTCTCGACTCATCACAGATCATCATGCAAAAGGTTTATCTGGAAATCATGTACCACAGAGCGAGGATTGTACTCCACCGGCGGTATCTCAATTGTTCGCCGACCAAGACCCCCTACGGTTATTCCCAACAGGCATGCCTGGACGCAGCGCTGAAGCTTCTTGAATATCAGCATATGCTGCAAGAAGAAACGCGGCCGTTCTGTCAGCTGTACCAAGAGCGGTGGCGTGTTACCTCCCTTGTCAATCACGACTTTCTCTTGGCCACTAGCGTCCTGTGCGCGTACTTGCAGCAGGTCCGTGGGGAGACGGCGACGGCAGGCGCCGAAGGAGGCACCAGCGTTGACACAATACGAGCATCCTTACAACGCTCATACGGCATATGGCTCAACTCAAGCAGCTCGTCCAAGGAGGCCCAAAAGGCCGTGAGCGCGTTGAGTGTCATTCTCGGGTCTCAGGACTCCATGGACACGAACACCAACAACGAGACGGACATGTCGTTTGATCAGCTCCCCGCGTCTCCCGGAACTAGCGTTAGCTTCTACCCCCAGAGTGAGTGATGCACATGGCGCCGCCCGTATCTTGAGGCTAACCTGGCAAAGTGTTTGGCGACTCGGCCGGCTTCGGAGTCCAATTCCCCGTGTTTGACTTGATAGGCCTGGGTAATAGTGCGACTTCGCCAGCGGTGGTACCGCTCAGCAACTTTCAGGTCTCGACACCTGCCTCTAGTAGTGACTGGCAGATGTTGAATGGTGAGCTGCTTCCAGGCCGCTTCACGACATACGACGGACGCGACCCGACTGAGCGGAACTTAGCTCTGGAAAGACCCTGGAACGGGGCTTTCTATTAGCTTACGGCGATCCATAAGAAAGCCGGCGGCGACACATCAACGCCGCGCGAACCCCACACCCAGTCTGGGCGGGCCTACACAGTTGTGACTTCCATAAACCAACGGCCCTTTCCATTCCGATGAAACGAACACGCAGAGCCCCAGGCCCGCGTCCGGACTTGGCTACGTCCCATATAGCCAAATTGCAGTAGTCATAGCTTGATCCTCCGGAGGGTCCCAAGCCTTTAGCGAAAGAATTATCAGATGGTGGGGCGTTTGCCTCCCCGCTGAACTATACGGGGCGGCCCGCACTGAGGCTTTTGAGGCAACCATGCACATCAACCACCTTCAAGCGCAATAATAAACGACGCGACATGGCCTCGCTAAGCGGTTGGGAGAAGCACGATATCCTGCGCTGCGAGCGATTTCTGAAAAGGATCGAAGGCTGGGTCGACCCCACCTGGGGTTTTTATGTCTATGGTACCTACACACGCCCGCAAAAGCGAAAGGATTCAGACAAGGGGCACGATGAGGGCAAAGTCCAGGAGAAAGCGGGTGAGTCATATACATTCGAGCTCAGAGAGGGATGTCTAATGGCTGCGTATCTAGTAGACAGCGAAAACTTCCAGGCCGTGCTGAACAAGCTGCACGCCCACGCTGCCGATACCCTGCGCTACGAGCAACTAGAGCCGTACAATCAACAGTTGATTGACACTTTGCGCTTACAACCCGCTGCGTACCTTCCTGGCGCTTCGCTCGCTGACGTCTGTGAACATTTCCGCCAGAACGCAGGCAGTTTTCTTGGCGCTGGAGGCGGAGTCATAGAGGAGGATTACAACTGCGGTCCCAAGACTGACTGGTGTCTGATCATAGACGATGACTCACTCGATAGTATCGAAAATGGGCCCGAACCAATCGGACCAACGCCGCCAGACGATGCGATGCCCTGGACTCTAAAGCGTAACGCCAACAGGGTGTTTGTCAAGCTGCTTAGTAAGAACGAGTTCACAACGGAAGAGCCCAAAGTTCTTGCTGCGCAGGGTCGGGGCGGGACTAGTCAGAGGGTTGAGTGGCATGGCTGGTGCAAGTTCTCACCCGTGTATCTGATGCCTGTCTTCAATGAGACCGACAAAGGAGATATCGAGACTTATTTCAAGCATCCCGATCAGCTCATCACGATCTAGCTATATGTTATAGTCATCTAGCACCGAAACACCATACAGCAGGCCATGAATGTGCGGAATCAGGCATTGGAACGAGTCGAGTCGTATGGTCGTGCTACTGGTTTAATATTCTCCTTGCTCTTGTAAGGCTTTGCTGCTAATGGACTGGCTTGTCATATTCTGTTGAGTATAATGTTTGTCTGTAGCCTCGTCTCGTTGGACCACTGCAGCAAGTGCAATGGCTCGATCTTTTTATTCGACTCATACATGTTGAACCAAAATCAGAGATTTGCGCAGCTCGAAACATGCAGCATGAGCCAAAGAAAGTGGAATTGGACAGCAACCTCGTGTATTGATTTTTCGCGCATCATTACATGATATCAGCCCCCACCGCTCCATATCTCGCGTACGCGCCTTGTTGTAGTAGTCATAGCTTGCTTCGTGATCGCGATAGTGTGCTTGTGGTTGGGGCGGCGCCTAGCTTGGGATGTGCGCGATGTGTCTGCGGAGATAGCAACGAACGAAGATGGGAGTATAAAAGTAGAGTTCTCTCATGTGGCTACAGAGAGGGTGCAGATGAGTATGTGGACGAACGATAGACTGAATTCTGCGGAGAAGATGGAGAACTATGCAAAAGGTAGGATGACAAAGGGAAAACTGGATTGTAGTTAGGGGAAGAGGGATTGGTAAGGGATGGCACGCTTTTTGACTATTCTCTACGCTCAACGCGTGTGACGACTATTTCAGTTGATATCATGCCCATCACAACGCCTGACTCGTCTGCATGTAGGTTGTAGGTAGACGAAGAGCAAAACTCGTCGTACATATACTATAACTTTCCATCCCGGCCTGATACATTATCCGATCTCGTTGATTAACATTACATCCCCAGGAGTTTGAAGCTGACTACTTGGGTATATAGCCTAGACGCCAACACAGACATAATAGCCCAGCCAGACGTTGCATGAAGAACCCAAGCCAGTGTTCCACTTCAAAAACTGCTCGGACGTAACGCCCGCAGCGGTGTAGAGTGCCCAACAGCTGTCACCGCTCACAATCTTGTGGAACGTTTTGCAGTTGCTCACAATACCTGGCATCCGCTCGCTGGCAGGTGGGCCTGAGGAAGGAGCGGGGGTAGGTGTCGGGGTGGGTGTGGTCTGCGCACGAGACACGTGGACGCAGACATAATAGTCCAGCCAGAGGTTGGAGCAGCCTGAAGCCCGTTAGATGTTGAATAGCAAAACAGGTAGTTAGAAACATACTGGAGTCGATTTGAGGGTTATAGCCTGCGAATTGAGTCCTACTAATGCCGTTCCTCTTGGAAATGGTCTCGCAGTTGTCGTTAGAGACGACCTTGTCCCAGCCATCGCAGTTGGCCGCAAGACCGGGCATGGTGTTCGTAGGTTTGCTCCCAGACGCAGACGTCTTGGTTGAAGTCTTGAGAGTGGTAGGCGGCGTAGTGGAAGTGGGTTTAGGCGTGGACGTAGGTTTAGGCGTGGAAGTAGGTTTAGCTGTAGTGCTGGGCGCCTTTGTCGATGACGGGGTAGGTTCGTTAGTGACCTCGCCAATGACACAGTACGACAGGTCGGTGTTCAGGCCAGGGCATGTTATGCTTGGGTTCAGCATCTTCAAGTCGTTGACAGACAACCCCCAGCTACTCGCAAAGTCATCGCAAGTCGCACCAAGATTAGCGGTCGTCTCGAAGGAGCAGTCCACACCGCGAGCAGTGATGAAAGAAGACGCTGCCACCACAGCTGCTGGGACACCAGCAACGAATAGAAGTGACAGTTGCATCTTTTTTTCCTACGCTTCTGAATTAGAACGAAAGGAGAAACTAGATCAGACTGAAGTTACTTGGAAAAGATGAGAGCTGTGGTGTGGTGGACGAAGCATTCACCCAGTTCCGTCTCGTTGGTTTTATAGTCGCTCTTTCTCTCCATCCTCCATACGAGATTGCAATAGGGCCATATCATTCCAAAGAGCCTAACCCGTTGCACGCGAGGCAGAATGAAGCCCTGAACTGATTTACAGTCTAGAAGGGAAGAAAAATGACACCGCGCCATCTTACTTCGGGTAAGCAATCGTGCCCGCGCTTCGCATCTGACTTCAGTGGCGGTAGAAACGGGAGATTTTTGAAGAAGGATTCTGTTGAGCTGTGATATTGATCGCACAGTAATTTTAACCTGGTTGCTTCTCCGGATGAAATCTGAGGAAGACACAAAGTTATTCAGAGCTCGGCTACGAAGTGCTGCTTGATGCTTTGCTCGGCCTGCATTGAGATCTTCCTATAATTCTTACCTTAAGGTTACAATCCTGCATAGGTACCTGCAGGAGATCCAAGGCCCCCACGGCTGAAGTCGACACCACTGCGGGATGGCAATTAAGCATTGTTGCTTGTCAACGAACCTAAAAGCTTGGTTCGCCCACGATGGATTGTAAGACTGGTGATTTGCTGCGGTTATTAAAAGCGCCAAGAGTGCCAAGCCGGGATAAGGCCAGTCTAGCCGCAAACATAACGACGCTAGAAAGCTTTAGATTACGAAACGTTAAGCGCCCATGCTAAGGAATCCTTTTGTACACCAGGCAGTCGACAAAGCCGCAATGCAATTAAGGTAAGACTTACATCGAGGCGTACGAGGTTACATCCACACACTCTCGCCACAAGCGCTACTGTACAGTAACTTGGCGCCAGATGAACACCGTCGCCAGTTGAACACCCTAACAACAACAATATATTCAAAAAGATGAGGTTGTACAGCTACTACAAATCGTAATAAAATTGCGCAAAGCTAGGATTATATTATATATAGTCCTGCGGACGTTTTGGCTTATTTAGATATTTTTTTGGAGGGCGTTATGGGTCGTTGCCGTTGACTACGCGGCGGAGCAGCTCGTGCAACCCGTGCGGCTCCCACCACAGCTGTAGCAACACCACTACGCTTTTGACGCTTTTTAGCTGGCGGATGAGGTTGTGAAGCCTTACGATTACCTGATTGGGGCAATTTTATAGCTTTGGCAGCGTCGCGGAGGCTTCTACGGTGGTCTCTTTCGGCTTGCTCTGCAGCCCTCCGCTTTCTGCTCTCCTCCTAACCCTTCTCCTGCTTAATACGCTTCGCGGCTTTGAGTTGAAGATCACAATCGCGAGCTGCCTTCTTGGTCTTGGCTTGCTCGGCTTTTTGAAGCTTTTTAAGCTCGGCTTGTTGTTGTTGTGCTGCTCGACGATCGCGAGCTCGTTGTACACTCCTGGGCGACCACAGTTTGGCTCCCCTATGGTAAACCTCATCCTTATCAAGCTGGAGGGCGTAGCTCTGCTTTGTACGCCTCTCCTTGATGGCTAGGGACTGCCTGAGGCCCCTGATCTCTTCATGAAGTATACTGTTTTGAGCTGAGATGTGGCACAAGCTTTGTTGAAGCTTCTTGACGTCCTTACTGCCCTGATCCTTCACCTTACGGCGTACGATTGACTTGAGCTTAAGCTAATCCTCGCTGGAGAGGACTGACTAGCTGCTTTTAGAATCTGAAGCCTCCTTGGCAAACTTCTTGAGTATAACGTCTGGGTTGGCTGGCTGTATACTGGTGGCTTTAAAAGACCTCTTGATGAGTGGAGGCTTGAATACAGAGATCCAGGACCTCTAGAAGAGCGGGAAGAAGTCTCCTTTAGTTAAATTGAGCAACCCCTGGCTGTCCTGGAGGTATCCTATCAACTGGGTTGAGTAAGCTGTTGCAAGGGGTTTGAACATACAAACGTTGAGAGGTTGAAGCGTATGGGTAGCGTGAGGAGGCAGTACAAACAGGAGGATCTTGTTGTCGTTACAATACTTAATAAAACCCATGGTTACGTGGGATCTATGGCCGTTAAGGAGTAATAAACGATACCTAGTTGAAGCGTATCGTCTGGTCTCCTGTTCGAACACCCCCTTGAGCTAAGCTAACCCAATATTGTTGTTGCTCTAGCTGGAGGGTGATGACGTAGTAAACACTGAGTGTTCTCCTGCTTGTACAGCTTTAACCTAGCTTGATTGAACAGCTCCGTTGGACCCCTGGAAGATGAGCGTTGGACTCAAAGCGCTGCCATCCGAACAAATACAAGCTATAACTGTTATCCACTTAGTTGAGCCATCTTCAAGCGCTTGCCTTGCCCCTTTTTGCTCGTACAGTCTTCTGCTGAATATACGTTTTGTATTGCCAACCTGGCCAAGTTGAAACCCCTTTTTGTCCATATTGAATATATGGATGGGTTGTATATTGTACTCCTCTATCTTTTTATGTAAAAGCTTGAAATACAAGCTGTACTTTGCCCCTGAATTAGCTTTTGTACGCTCCTTGGCCATAGCTTTGCCGGAGCGAGAGATGAGATGGTTAGGATGCCGGCGGAGATACCGGTTAACCTAGCTTTTGGAGACTGGTTTGCCAGCTAACTGACTGGCAAACTGTTGTATTATTGTTCTTGTAGGTGGCAAACGTCGTTTGGTAAGCGTTTTGATATATCGTACAAGCTTAGCTTCGCGTTCTGGGTGGAGGGATTGGTTGCGTACGCTATAGTCCTCGGTTTCGTGTTTGTGCCGTCTTATTAGCGTAACGCGGTTGACGCTATACTTTTTAGCAATTTGTTGGTACGAGAATTGTTCTTCTGGATTACGCGATTCGATTTCTGCAATCGCTTCTTGAATCGGACTTATGGTGGTTGAGTTATGACGCGTTGAAGTTGGGGTGTTGTTTTTGGTGGGGTGTTCAACTGGCGACGGTGTTCATCTGGCGCCAAGTTACTGTAAGGGCGTTGCCGTGAACCCTGTACAAGCCATGCAGGGCTCCCGTTGGAGGGACGACATGCCCCCTACAGTGACTGCTAAGCACGCACGAACGTTCTCCAACCTCCGCTGAATCTTTCCGACACTTCTATTCCTCCACACGTTTTTTCTTTCGAGGCACACAGATATTTTCATGTTCATTACTTGGCTACCTTAGTTCACCGGCTGACATGGCCTACCACGTGCCTGCGCCTATTACGCTTGGCACTTCCTTAACGCTAAATTTCCTGGTCTTCATTGCAACATGCGCAAAGATGGCTGGAGCCTCGTCGGGTGTGGTAGAGGTTGATCTGATCTTTCCGCGCAACGAGACATATGCGCCTACCGCCTATTTGCCCATTATTTTCGCCTTCCAAAATTCTCATCTGGCGCCTTTCCTCGATCCGCTCATTCACATCAACGCTCAACTAGTCCAGAATGCGAACGGCAGCACTCCTCAATGGGCTCCGCCCGCGTCAATCGATCTGGAACAACTGCGATGGGCAAACTTTACCAACAACGACACCTACTTTGCATACCCAACTTACCAACGTAATGAATTCACCTTCGCGACTGAAGGGGTCTGGGAGATCACTTGGACATTCAACTGGGCAGTATGTACCGAAGACTCGTTGGCAAACAACATATTTATCCGAAACGAATCGCAACACACGATGACGCTCACCATCAGAAAGGACGCTCAAGAGGTAGATCTTGTGTCCGGAACAACGGGCAAGAGCTGCTCTGGACAAGATGGTGTCGCGGTCAACATCACGAATACGCTTCATATCCCTAGCTCCGCTCATTGGGAAGGTCAAACAGATAAGTGGGAAGGTCAAGGCGACATATGTGCATCCACGACGTCTTCTGTCCCTAAGTCGGATCCTTGTCGAGTGAGCATCGACCCTGCCGCCGCTGCAAGCATCTCATGTTCAATCACCTATGGTAGCTCAGCGGCAAATTTCAGCACAACAACCTCTTCGCTGACATGCCCGGAGGATAAGAAGGGCGCGGCTGGGCGTTTGACCATTGGGGGCATTGCAGCGCTGTTTGGGGTATTGTCCTACCTTCTTCATTAATATTAGGAGTTCTGTACATAGTCAAATTGATCGGTCATATGCTGACACCGTGCCTATCTGGCAACCGCTACAGCACCTGATTTGTGCCTACAGGTATCCATGGTTTAGAAGAAATTGGGTGTGATAGTGTACCAGAATTGAGCAATCAACAGGAGCCTTCGGGTTGAAACAGATACTAGACTATATTCTGACAGCGTGGGGTGCTCGCTTGGTTAAATGTCACACAAAGGATTGGCACTTTGAGCTTGTTTCGATCAAGCCCTTGGCACAGCAGCTTAGCTATGCTTGTGTTCAAAGAGCATCGCGCGTAAAAAAGATCACTTCGGCTTTAACGATCTAAAGAAAATATCGGTATGCCCTTCAGGACCCTTTTTCGGGACTTTCCTAAAAGTTGTCAGACGCCGCGGTGTGCTTCCTTAGCTTACTGGAAGATCTCATTCCGGTTTCCCTTCAAGCTTCGAGCCAGATGTCGGGTTCATCGAAATCACAGAATAGGAAGGTGTTCACGCAACAAGGATGATCTCAGAGTCAGCCCTACGTGCCCCTGCCAAGTAAGTTGGTCTGCCCCCTAATCATGCATCACCTTCGGATAAAGGCTCATTGATCTTGCCAGTAACCGTTGGAGGTCACTGAAAATGGGCTGTAGACTTTCGGAGAACGGAGTGTAGTTCCCGTATGTTGATCCGCGAATATCACTGACCACTTTGTTCTAATGAGGTACGGTTTTTAAAGCGTGTGGGTAATATCAACCCAATGTATCATGGGGCATGCCAAGAATCTTAAAATGACATTGCGGCGTAGCTACACTGCTAGTCCTTTTCGTGAAGATGTCCGACAGCGAAGGAGCGGTACCGGCACGCCCCATCGCCACAGCGGTCAAAGCGGGACGGCAATGAAGAAGCTTTGCCAAGCGAAGGAGCAGCGAAGGAGCAGCGTCTACGCCCCGTCGGCAGACTGGCCATAACAGCTTGGCAGTGAAGAAGCTTTGCCAATGATTCTCCGTATCTGGGCACGTGGACCTTCAATTAGATCACGGATCCTTTTATCAATGCGAAAGATGAGAAAAGCACAGGCCGGAGAGCGGAAAGCCTGCACGAGCTGTAAACGCTAGAGACGCAACGTATGATCGAAGAACGAGGGTCTTGATTGATGACCGGCAAAACGGATTCGGGAATCCTATACCGAGACATAGTTAGGTTACAGTGGTAATGAAGGGATCTACAAGGCGAACTTTCGAAGAGATGTCACTATGTTACTCGGGAGTGAGAAAAGACGTTAGGCATAAAGAAGTATAACAAAAGGCCTCCTTTCCGTGTATCAGGTCTCGGTGTAGCCTGTTTGTTGGCTTCAGTCACTCTCTACTCTCAGGTTCTGTTGATCTATCCCGTCTCTACTCTTCCTGCTATTTTGTTCACTCGTTGATCTCTAAACAACCGAGGACTATCCTCAAGCCCAGTCGGAGTATGGTGACCCTATCATGGTTCACCGCGGCGGTCGCGCTGTGGCTATCCGCCGATGGCGTAATGGCAAAGCCCCGACTTAGGCTCTCCTCGAGCCCAAACTACCGCAATTTTAACCAGTGTCCACAACGATGTGCCGATGCGGGTCCCAACACTGGCAACTGGTCGGCGTACCCCAGCTTCAAGAGTGTTAGCCGATGTGAACAGACTATGTTCTTCGACTTTTCCCTCTACGACCCGGTTGACGACCCAAGCCGCAACCACAACCTCTTCGCCTGTTCATCTTTCGGTCCTGATTTTGACAAGCTTCCTGCTACTGCAGCCAAATCCACTGGTGTGGAAAACCCTGTCGATGTTCACTTCGAGATCGGCTATTGGAATGAGGGTTTTGGTCTTGCGGTATCTAGCGTCCGCTCGCTGATTAAGCAGATGCGCGCGTATGCCGAACGCGGACATGGCGCTACAGAGTCACCCTTCATGATGTTCGGTCGCATCGGCCAAGCTTCAGTTGGTCTCTACATTGGTGAAGGTCTGCAGAACCAGGGACTTGTCGATGGCATGAAAATGTTCGAGGACAGGCTCCAGGACCTGAACTTCTCGACTCCAAGCTTGGCCATGCAACTGTGTGGGCCAGAGTACGACAGCACACACACCTTCGGATTGATGATCACCAGCAACGGCACATTTGCCCCTATCCAGGATGCTTTGAAGGCGTGGGACAAGTCACAGTGTCTGTCATTTGAACACTCGTCCAGGGTCTCTGGTCAGGCTACATTCACCACGCCTTTGATCTCGTTGAATGGAACTGCCAACTCGACTATAGCGAAAATCAACGAACATCGAGGTAACATCCTCCACGCTCGGCATAGCACCATCTATGCTCGGCATCACGCACTCCACGCTCGTACAGAGTGTGGCAAGACCGTTCAGGTCGGTGATGGCGACAGCTGCGGAACCCTCGCTACTAAGTGTGGCCTCCCCCCAGCCGCATTCTCCAAGATCCATCCCGAAGCCGACTTCTGTTCGAAGTTAATGCCAAAGCAGCACGTCTGCTGCACTGCCGGAACACTGCCTGATTTTTCTCCAAAGCCCAACAGCGATGGATCCTGCAACACGTATACGGTGAAGGCCAACGACAACTGCGACAGCATTAGTGCAGAGTACAGCCTATCTCGGGAGAAGCTCAACACTTACAACAAGAATACTTGGGGTTGGAACGGCTGTTCGCTGGAGATGTACCTCTTTCCTAACCAGAAGATCTGCTTGAGCACCGGTAGTCCGCCTTTCCCTGACGAGATCGCCAACGCACAATGCGGCCCTCAGAAACCAGGTACCCAGCCTCCCATGGCCGGCACAAACATTACCGAGATGAACCCATGCCCGTTGAATGCTTGCTGCAACATCTGGGGCCAATGCGGTCTCACGAAGGACTACTGCGTTGATACCAATACTGGCTCTCCTGGCACAGCCAAGAAGGACACCTTTGGTTGTATCTCGAATTGCGGCATGGACATCATCAAGGGCGATGGAACTGGCGCCATCAAGGTCGCTTACTTCGAGGGCTACGGTTTTGGCCGTAAGTGTTTGTTCCAGGACGCATCCCAGGTCGACACTTCACTATACACCAATCTTCACTTCGGTTTCGGCACCTTGACGGCCAACTACGAGGTTGGTACCGGCGATGCTCTGTCCACTTACCAATTCGGCGAATTCTCACGTCTCACTGGCGTGAAGAAGATCTTGTCCTTTGGTGGATGGGATTTCTCCACAATGCCAGCAACGTACATGATTTTCCGTGAGGGCGTCACACCTGCCAACCGCCTCAAGATGGCTACGAGCATCGCCGACTTCATCAAGAAGCACAATCTGAATGGCGTTGACATTGACTGGGAGTATCCCGGAGCGCCCGATATCCCTGGCATCCCAGCAGGTGGCAAGGACGATGGCAAGAACTACCTCGCGTTTTTGGCCACTTTGAAGAACCTGCTTCCAGGTAAATCCGTTTCTATTGCTGCACCTGCGTCTTACTGGTATCTCAAGCAGTTTCCGATCAAGGAAATCAGTAAGGTTGTCAACTACATTGTTTTCATGACCTACGATCTACACGGTCAATGGGATGCTACCAATGCATTCTCGCAGGAAGGATGTGACAACGGTAGCTGCCTGCGCAGTCAGGTCAACTTGACAGAGACCAAGCTATCCTTAGCCATGATCACTAAGGCAGGCGTACCCGGGAGGAAAGTCATCGTGGGAGTTACGATCTATGGGCGATCCTACAAGATGGCGCAAGCGGGATGCTCAGATCCGAGCTGTCAATACACCGGCGACTCTTCGACTTCATACGCCGCGAAAGGTCCCTGCACCGACACCGCTGGGTATTATCACTCCTTGGTAGACTCGTACTCTTTTGCTAACGTAACATCACAGGTACATTTCCAACGCAGAGATTGGTGAAATCATGTCATCCAAGAAACGTTCCATCACGAAGAGCTTTGTTGATGCGAGCAGCAACAGCGATATCCTGGTATATGACGACACCGAATGGGTTTCTTACATGAGCGACAAGACCAAGCAGAGCCGTTCGACTCTTTACAAGGCCTGGGGTATGGGAGGTACTACCGATTGGGTATGTAGTCGTGACACCTCGTTGTTACACCTTCACTGACTTAACCACCAGGCAAGCGATCTACAGGAGTACCACGACGTTCCCGCACCAGCATCGAGCTGGGCCCAGTTCAAACTACTTGCAGCCAGCGGGTCAGATCCCAAGACCGACCACTCTCGAAACGGTAACTGGACCAGCCACCATTGCCAAGACGACTTGATTGTTTATCCGCTGGACTCCACTCCTGCGGAGAAGTGGCAGGGGCTCGATGCTGATGGTGCCTGGAGCGATATTGTCCGGATCTGGAAAGATACTGATGCGAAGCGACGGCCAAGTGTGAGCTTCACGGCGTCCGTCGGACAGACGATCCACGTAGGTACGAACGCAGACTGCGCCAGCATGCTGGCGAACTCGAACTGCGAGCAAGCCAAGGACTGCGACGGAGGTTTCAATGCTGAGGATTCTGGAGCCGCAGGCGAGTTGATTTGGGACTCCATGGTGTTCATCCATCAGCTACACAAGGACTACTCTGACACGCTTTTCAAAGCGGCGTCGACGTTGAGCACCATGCTTGACAAATTCGAAGACACGTTTGCGCCGGTACCTCCTGCGCCCGATACCATGTGGATTGACTTCATGATCGACCTCATCACTCTTGGAACCGTTTCGGCCTGGGGTACCTTCATCCAGAGAGCAATCAAGGACGCGAAGCTGCTTGAGGGGCAAGCACACGATGATGTCAAGGAGGTGGTGAAGAATACACTCTCCATGAGTGGAACTATTACCAAGGATCTTTTGCCTCTTTCCGAGAAGGACAGCCAATGGACACCGGAAAAGCAGAAGACGTTCACGGCTTATATGGGCGAGGTCATTAATATCTGGGGCAATGTTACGTCGTTATCCCTCAACGCCACCTTTGATGGCTCAGACAACAGTATCACGCGTCTTGGTGATATGATGTCTGGAGGCAAGCTGGTGGGTTCAGCTCTCGCAGTGAGTGATGGAAATGAAGCAGATCTCCGAACCAATGTGCTAAAGACGGTCTTTGGATTCGGTATCCCAGCCTTGTGGTACGTACTTCCCCTGGAGAGGCCAACCTCCTCAATAAATGCCTGAGTCTGCTTTCCCCTTTGCACTTTTGCTGACAGAGTTTGATCACAGGTCTTACTCCAACACCCACGCTTTCGTCATCGACTCCGGCTACGGCTGCGACGAGGCCAAGGAGAAGCTTTCGAAATATCTCGACGCGGATACCGCGGATAGCAGTGGCGTCTGCATCGACGGCAGGATGTACTACCTAAGCCGCGCAGAAGGCAAATCCACAGAATGCAAATGCGAAATCACCGGCGATCACGGGCCCTGCCAGAACACCTGCCACGACAAGAAGTTCACCGCGCCTCCGGGTGTCGAAGAGCTCGATGGCGAACAGTTTGGCGGCATCAAGCTTGAGGATCTTGTGAGGGGCTCAGTCAACACCTACAACAACTACGGCGGCAAGAACGGCGCCGGCGCCCCAAACGTCGACGACGATGGTACATTCGACCTCCTCCTCCAGGCTGACGTAACTACCCCCGGCATGGTCCGTCTTTCCGTCTGCTCCCCAGAGCGCGCCTTCCAAGCCTGGGGCGCCCAGGACACGACCAACGTCCTCTACCCATGCAACGACGTACCAGGCAAAAGCCACTGCGGCGAGTCGACCTTCGAGGACCAGACCAGCGACGCGTCGCCCAGCGTTGACGACTGCCGCCAGATCATCAAGAACATCCAGGGCGACACGACGACCGAGTGGTCCGACACGCAGGTCATTGGGCACAGGCAGCGCGAGATTGCCAAATTTGGAAGCTGCAGCTTTGGCGTCGAGGCTAGTAAGACGAACGGAAATGTCAATTTCCAGGTCGGCGGGCAGGATGTTATTGATCTCATTAACAATGCTGTTGACAAATTTGGAGGCGGGGGGAAGATCGGTGCGCAGGGGCATATGTCGTGCAATGGCAACGTCCACGGGCAGGACGTTACGTGGGGAATCTACTAGGTAGAAGAAAAGCTGGTAACAAAGTCCGATGGCTAGATACTCGTTGCACAGCGCTAGCGCTCTTGGTGCTGTCGAACGGGTAACTTTAACTATATTTGTATAATAAACGTACATTCTCCCACATACGACCATAGGACACTGAAAATTAGGCTTCCCGTCCGCTCAGCCATATACAAGCAGTGTACCGGCGGATTAGTAGTTAGGTGGGTGACCACTAGCGAATCCCCGCTGTTGTATGTTTTTGCGTCTTTTTGCTCCATAACACGGCCCATTATGCAATTTAGCCTCGTCAGATTTACGAGAGCTTATAGTAAGTCCCTGTGTAGAAAGGTTCTGGTCATCAGACGAGATGCAGTACTTTCTCGTGGAGATCGCCCTTGTCTCGTAGGTCTAGTGCTTCTCCCTTCTGGAGTCCCTCAACATAGCACTCACCAACGAGACGATAGCAGTCGGTGCGGAGAAGAGCATGACTTTTCGCAGGCGCTGGTGTACATTCTTTTAACTTCTTCTTCTTTTGGAACGGATTCCAGCTCTTCAATGAGCCTTTGAATTTCTCGACTGAGCTGGTGGAAAGATCCATATCAAGGTCCAGCCACTCAGGACAGTTGGGTCCTTTCGTTACTTTCTGCACAACAAAGGGCGTTTTCCCACCATACAGTACGCATACCTCGTCTCCAACTCGTGTAATCGGCGGTCCACTGCCAATGTACCCCGTCTCAGTTACGAAGATGGCCCGTTCAATATCCACAGCGATGTTGAATCTCAACGCCATCAAAGACAGCCTTTCCAAGGCTTCTTCACTTGAGATGTCCTCCATACAAGGCGACTCGATGTCTCGTTTATTTGGGGCAGAGAAAGCGCTGAATCTGGGAAGTGTGCCTGGTTCCTCTTCTTTCGCGTATTGAAGGCCAAACTCGTAATACGCAGTAAAGTACTGCCCAGGCGACCCTGTTTCAGGCGGTCCGCAAGCAGAACCCCCCGTAATGACCTTCGCAAATGCTTCTCCGTTAAGCGAGTACCGACCGCGGCCATTCACCTCCCATCCCCAAAGGATGGCCTTCCATATCTCTATGACAGCGCGGAACTGGTTCAAGGAGAACATCGGATCGTGATCGTTATGAATATCATCCAAATGGGTGTATACCTTCGCGATTCTGTCGACAACGATGCCTTTCAGGGAGAGTATGCGGTCATCTTGCGATTCGACAATACACGGCTCGGTATCGTATGTTGTTTGGAAAGTAAAGTGGGACATGCGCTGCACGATAGCACAGTTGCTGTGTATTTTATCCCATTTGGGCACCCAGGAAGATTGTCCCTTGTCCCAGGCAAAATATCCTTCGTCGTCACGCTCCTGACGTACTGAACTCAATATATGCAGTGTCGGCTTTGGTCCGTAGGAGCCAGGCATCTCGATGCAGTGTCTTGCAACATCTCGGAACACAGCCTCCCAGTCTCGGGCGTAGTCGATGCGTAAGCGCGGATATTTCTCAGGTGTTAGAGATTCGATGGATAGGCCCAGTACCGCATAGATCTTGTCATGTGGGACCGTAGAGTTGAATCTAGATATCTGATCCAGTCTGCGCATCAAGGTCGGAGTCTTATACCTACGGCATGTTTCGATCATGGAGATATTGCTCAATATACGGAGGCCGTCTATGTTGTCTGGGTAAGCACGAGCTATAAACCAATTCACCGCTTGTGACAGTTGGCCCCAGCCGAGTCTCGCATTCTTTCCTACCATCAGTAGCGTGTCGTCCGCACTTGATGCTTCCTGGATGATCCATACGCGACTAAACCATGGCCTGCTTGAAAATTTGCTCAAGCTCTCCCATTCCGGAGCACCAACCTTGGGGAGACCGACTGTGCTCGGATCTTCAAAAGGCTGCATGCTCCCCGCGCTACTCATGAATAGCTTTTGATAATCCAGTTTGCCGACCGTGTCTTTCCCACGCACGATCCTGTGTGCTGTTTTCAGAAAAGACATAGCCTTGATCGCAACCTCGACTCCATCCCTGTCGTTTCTGGTTCCGTCTATTATCGCATCGCCCAGCCAGACGAGCACTCTTCCACACATTGTGTATATATCCTTCATGCGCATGACCTGTATATTCTTCTCTTCGACATCCTGCTGGTTGATACACACAGCGTCTACCCATAGCAGCTCTGCCTTTTCAGTATTCCTGACTCTCCGCAAGGCTGCCTCCAGATTCATCGTCACCTCGATTGTCTTGCCATCTACCTTGATCCGCTCTTTGACGTCCGCATAGCCCCACACATAGGACAGTGCATCGAAAGCGCCTGAGACCTCTTCCAACGAAACGGTAAGAAGCTCGCACTGTATCATGTCACACTCGGTGCAGATGCACGCATCTCCACAACACACTTCATCACGCAGGATTTTGCCCCATTCGAAATCCTGCACGAACACCCTCTCAAACAGGCTTTCAGTAATGGCTCTGCAGTCCTCCCTTTCGCAATCACTTTCCTCGCCATCTTGGTGGTAGTGGCCGCTCCCACTGGGTACGGTCGTGGGTAAGATTCGCAATAGCCGGATTTGGTCGCCTTCAAGAGGTGAGTAAGTCGGCAATGAGTAGGTAGGCGGCGTGGGCAGTGAGTTGGTCGATGAGGAAGCGCTTTGTGCCTGACGGCTGTCGCCCCTGCAGCACCCGTCAAAGGGCATGAAGCGGTGATGGGGGTGGATGAACTCGGCGTTCTTGAGACAGTCAGAGCAGTAATCCCAGTCTGGGCAGTCCAAGCACTTGTGGCGGACACCGTAGATGTACTTGTCGCAGCCATCGCAGATAGCGCTGTAATGAACGTTCATGCCAGAACTGCACTGGCAGCATGAATGAGATGTTACCGACATGTCGTCGATTTGTTTCCTGCTTACAACTACTTTCCTGATCTCATATATCTGGATAGGTTCCTGTGAGAGGGGCTGTGCTAAAGCAACGCCCGGCGGCTATTTTGGGATAGGATTTGGGGGCCAAAAGATTCATGATCTAATGAGGGTATACCTCGGTACCTTGCCGAGGCTCGCACCTTAAACCCCATTTCTGTTCGCGCATCAGGCTGCCAGCAATTTGTGTTTATCAACAATCAATTATGAAACTGTGCGGAATATTGGAAAACTATAGACCTGAGACGTTATGGGAACTGTTGGAGGGTGTCGCAACATAGTGCTTTCTACTAAGCGCTATCGAGTACGCCACTGAAATTGAGCATAAAAGACGCATTGTATGTTAGTGATGGTCAATGCATCGTGAAGTTTTGCGAGGTCGAAGTAGCACACCCACATTGCCCAGCGACCCACGGCAACTGCACTTGTTACTTCGACATGATTCGCACTACTCCAGATTTCAGGATTCAAAGTAACAACTAGAATATTGCACGTGTGAGCCGCTCATGCCTTGCTCCTACCGACTTCTTCCACGCTCTACTCACCACTGCTGCCCTGTGCTCCTCGCTCGACTGCGCTCCAACACCTCAAACCCCCACTTACAACTGTCATCTACAGCGCGCTCAAATGTATCATATTGTATGTAATTAATTGTGTCACGTCTGATAGTTCACCCTAGCCGTAGCTTGTTTGCAGGACCTACAGCAAAATTACTAACGCAGCCAGCTCCCACACGTGCTCGCGGAAGTGCTTCGCCTGCGACAGCTAGGTATGAAGACTGACGGATAAATAACAACAGAGAAGATTGTATGCACGTTTTTAACAGTGAGTCCGTTTGACGGCGAGGTCGAAGTCACCTTTCTTGGTGTCGCTGGATGGGCGGTTTGTAGCTTGCTATAAGTTTTGTTTACGTACAATCCTTCACATACGACTATAGGACAGTGGGAATTAGTTCACTCGTCCGCCCGGCCATCTTTCGGATAGCTTAGCGCGCCCACTTCTGGCAACAGAAACAGGTTTCGCGAAACAGGTTCTAGTATTACTTTCGCGACTAACGTAACAACAGAAAACGTTGTTTAGTCGTAGGTATAGTAGTTGTAAGCTTCCCCCACTTAGATACATTCAGTCATCCAACATGACATTCACAGCTTGGGCGCGAGTTGTTCTAGCAATAAGTAAGTACGCGCAAGCCTCCTACTTCGGAACCTTTCGACCTTCGCGACTACTTTTTGCGAGTGGCCAATTCGTCTTTAGGAGTTGTCGCATCGCATGTTTGCAGCGTCCAAAAGTGAATGAAAGGCGTAGCTAATGCTAAACTGTTAACTTATATTAGGTAAAAATCCCTAAAAATGTTGTCTAGGTCTGTTAAGTAGCTATGTAATAAAACAGATTATGCGGTACATCTTTTAGAAAGAGGCACTCTAATAAGTGCTAGGGATAAAATTGCTACACGAGATGAAAGTACCGTAAGCCTATTCCTTTGTTGATGAATGCTTCAGCACTTGCTCTTGGATCAGGAAAACCATTGTCTCTCCATTCCATATCAAGACCCTCTCCCGTGGTATCATTTACAAACCACGAGATAACATGATCCCGATCATGGTCTTTTCTCCTCCAACCAGAAGGTAGTGGCCCTAATCTTGGATCTTCGATCGCGTAATGACCTGAATTCTCATTGAGATAGCAGCGCCAGTAGGCACCCGTCTTCTCATCGTAACGGGCGATACTTCGAGTTTGAGGTGGGAGTGGGCCTAACAAAGCTTCGCCATTCATGAATCCGTGGAGATAGCACTCCCCTACCATCTGAAAGTGACCATCTCTTGAGGGTCGAAGGACAAAAGCACCTCGTCCTCCGAGTAGTATGACAATCTCGTCCCCAGGTTTGGTGGTGTCAGGTCCGAGGCCCATACCGCCACTGTCCGTTCTTAGCAGTGAGCGGCCTCTCAGATACTTGTTTGCATTATCCAACTCCTTCAATTGGCTTGCCGAAATCCCTGCAAAGCCATCACCACCTTCAAGGATTTTCTTAACAATGTCCCGAAATGTATCCCAGTTTGGTGAATTCTTGTCTTCTGGGATGTATATGTTAGAGAACAAGCCGCCGTTCAAAGTCATACAAAAAGCATCCAAAACCAGTTCATGGCGTTTCCCGTTCGTAATCTCTTCTAGCAGTGGCGTTGCAAGTCGACGAATCGCGTTTGTAATCGACTCATCCTCCTGCCACTTGTCAACCTCGTTGATCGTGGCCACGTGAATTCCTTGGAGGCTCAAATTATCACCATCGCGCAAAGCAGCACAAGACGCCCTTGCGGAAGCTGTTGAGATCGTCTGTAATAGACATGAACTTGGGGGAATTGCCAAATTGGGAACCCAAGACGGCAAGCCGGCTGTAGTACTTGTTCCATCGCAAAGCGTTAAGATGTCCAGTGCAGAATTATGCTGTATCCACTGCCATATAGCCTCCTGGAAAACTTGCTTTGTCGTCATGTTGTAGTCCGGAGTGATTTTCAGGTCCCGCTCATATGTTTCCAAAAAAGACAGAACAGCAAAGATCCTATCTCGGGGATCTGAGCAACGACATCGGCGCGTGAAGCTTATTATACCGGAAAGATTTGTATATCCTAAATCTCCCATGGACCAGACATGTCGTAGACCAGCTTTATCTATGGTTGGATTGAGCGACGACTTGTTGAATAGGCACAGAGCTGATTTGCGCAAGTCCGACCATAGTATTACTGCCTGACCGCATACAACGATGGCTTCCACATTTGCCATCCGAATCTCTTGTTGTATCCACAGTCTTTGGAACCACTCTCTTCCGTATAGATCTTGTATTCCAGCAACAGTATCGGAACTGTATGGCAATGGACTTTCTGGATCGGACCAATGATTGTCGTCTAAATCACTGTCTTGAGCAGGAGTTGTCCTCCAAAAAGACCAATTGGCTTGTATCTTGGAGCTTAGAGAATTGAGGGCTCTTATAGCAGTATCGGTATTAGGCCCTGCAGGACCAATCCAGACGGTGACCTGTTTTGCCCTTGCGTATATATCTGCCATACGCTTGACCTGCTCACCACGTTCGTCTAAATCGTCCTGGTTCACGCAAATCGCATCTATCCACATAATCCGAGGCTTATCAGCATATCGCAGGTGCCTTAACGCAACTTCGAGATTCCTGGTGACTTTAAGACTGCAGTCCCTGAGATGACCAATACTGATCTCAGGTGAGTTTTCGCTAGACCCCCAAGTGTATGATAGAGCCTCGAAGTTTGGTACAGGCTCATCGGGATTGAAGGAAATCGTATGCAGATCGGCTACTATGTCTGATTTGTCGACGCCTGGGAAAAGCGTCACCAATCGGATTTCATTTGCGGTCTCATCGAGTTTGTTGTATCCGTATCTTGGCATATCGATTGCAGGGCAGAGCGATTGGCGGTACAGGGCGATGAGCAGTACGGATCAATGGGCAGCACAGATGGTGCGAGTGAGTATGGCCAGCTATAACGTTAGATCTTCGTAAAACATGTAATGAGTAAGTGATGCACCTCGGTTTTTCCTAAGCCTGCCCGATGACAACTGCTCCTCGCCTGCAAAAGAACGTGTCGATGCTTTATTGGGTGGTTATAGTTATCTAATTACTATCCTTTTCCGGCGCCTGATTTCTTCAAAGGATTGATGCTTTCGCGGGTCTCCTGCTATTGGTCGTGGTGTCTCACGCACTGCATTCGTGGTATTCATGTACCATCCTATTGCCTTCTAGTGCTGGGGTGGTGGTAGATCTTTCCAATCATTGCTGAGTTCTATCTGTCAGTCAAAAGCGAGCATAGATTATGTGGCATATGGCATGATGATTGCAGGCGGAGCTTGAGTAGCATACACATTCGCTCAGCATGTTCAGCTTACTATTCGTATCCCTACTGCTCATCTTCCTAAACGCTTTCCTCATTTTCCTCACATTCGTCACACAACGCTCCGCAGTTTTGGTCTATGTATCCAACCCATACCGTAGCACTCATAGCGCAGCTATCGTCATCTTCTTCGAAAAATCGACAGGCACTGAAATAATCTTCCGTGTTTTGCAAAGCCCCACATCCAGGACACAGAAATCGATATTGTCCTTCTGCACACATTGCTATATAACAGTGAGCCAAAACTATAGTAGCAGAGGATTTTAGCAAAAAGAGCTTGAAATGGTCCAACATACAGATTCGGATCGTCGATGTGTTTGGATGTAGATTTCAAGGTTGTTGTTATTGAGAATAAGTTGAATATAGTATAAGGAAATAGAGCACTAGAACAATGAGGTTCAGGTGATTGTAGATAAGATCACTGCTCGTTCTGTAGATCGAATAGAGGTGCGTGTAGTAGTAACCTGCTCTCTAGCAGTCTATGATTGATGCCCTACTCGTGTGATTCTTATTTGCCTTGTCACTCTATGGGCTTCATCTTTCTAGGCTATGCATAACATTCCAATAAATCTATGCCACGTACATACAGGTCTAAAGCCTTGTGGCGTCTATGGCGCACAACCATCACGTCTGTTGAGGGGTACGATTATGCAAGCCACATCGATTCATAGTGGGTCACGACAAGGCTGAGAAGAACTATCTAGTCAAAGGGAAGGCACAGCTTTCGAGCGCCAAATGATCGGCCTTAATCATGCGATCGCTAGAACACCAAATCCCGAAATTTACAAACTAGAAGTATCGTTCGGCAAGACTAACTTTGACAGCATCTTCTAGCTCATCGTGGCTGAGATGCGAGAAGTGAGAAATGAGACTTTAATAAAGCCACCAACATTATCCACAGCTACTCAGCAATGTCAACCAACGGATTACCGCTAGGTCCGCAAAGAATCAGCCAAATCCGTGCCGCTCAGCCTCCTTCCTCTTGGCGCATGCCTCTATCTAACGCATCAAGTGGCGCGGCACGTCCATAATTAGCGCGGCGTCAGCAAACTAAATATCTGTTTACAGAATACACGAAACCGAAAACAGTGCATTTAGGGGCAATTGTGACGATAGAGTAAGAGAGAACTAGGCTTCCCGTCCGCTCAGCTATATACAAGCAGTGTACCGGCGGATTAGTAGTTAGGTAGGTAACTACTAGCGAATCCCCGCTGTTATATAGTTTTGCGTCTTTTTGTTCTATAGCACGGAACACCACGCGATTCCTTTTTGTCTAGTAGTCTACCAATGAACCTGCTTATACAGATATACTTCCCCACCAGTGTCGTCGCAGTTCCCCTTATCGCAGCCCCGAAGGCCTGTCAACGGTCATTCATTATCCTACATTCAGCTTTCCGATAGTGCACGTTGCACTTGGAGCGCGTCGATTCTAACATAGTTGTGATCATTGTAGGTGCTCCTTTCTACACTTCGGAGGTTATACTTTTACATCATCCCTTCTATGTTTTCGACAGTGATTGCATGACTATTGCGAATAATCATGCTCACTATTAGGTATCGCTTGAGAAGGAAAGCAAAGTTTATCCTTTGCACCCGACTTCTCTCTGCTGGGAACGTGTAAGCTGTGCGGAATTCGGTGCGTGAAGCTCATCGCTACATTGTGGTTAGAGGTACTACACAACAGCATACACTGCGGGATGAAGGAGCTGAGGAAGTTCGACCCATGGCCCACAGCCTACTCGTATCTGAGTGTTGAAACTGAATAGACTTTGGTAATATGATTGCGACCCTATCATGAGACCTCTTGCTGAGTCTATTAGTGGAGCCAGAGTTCTGATTACCAGAGAGATCGTGCGGGGAGCTGCGGGAGCCTCTCCGCATCAATGTTCAGCCGCATCGCCAAAAGGAAATCTAGACGCTGATTCCTGCCGATACCTTTCCAATTTCAGTCTGGGTTTGACGTTCGAAGCCTCTGGATGTTATGTGCGGTCATACTCTAGCCCTTCCAGGTTACTCCGAACTTCGACACACTAATGCAATCAGTCCTTTGAGATCGAGACCTTGGGAAGCTAGCCCAGGCTTAGCGGATCTTGCCACTACACAACAGCTACTACCTAACCAAAAGCAATGATAGATCACTCAATACAGGTTCTAGATGATGCAGGCTCCGTACCTAGATGCTCTACGCAGCCCGTGGAATTCCGAAAGACTTCGCGATCAAACTGGCACTTGTGGCATTCTTATAGCTGGGCATTTAGAACGACTTACAGTGCGTTGCGCAAAGAACCTCTTTTTGGACCACCAGCATCATGGACGCTGCAACGGTTGTCTCTATTATCCTTGCTATCGTCTTTACTATCCTTGCTATCGTCTCTTTACTTGATACTGTTGCCGTTGCGATCGTCGGTCACATATCGAACAAATGCCTCGCGGAAGAGGCTGGAAAAGCAGCCATAGATCAGGACAACAAATCTCAAGAATTGAACCACAAATATGAGTTGTTGAAGCAGGAGCTGCATGACAGGAAAGAGACGGAGGCGCTGATCTACAAGTACGGGCAGCCTTTGTTGGTTGCCCCTTACGAGCTGTAAGCTCGACTCTACGAGCTGCGTCAGTATCCAATCAGCAAAGCGCATCTAGGATCGAAGGAGGGCCTCCAGGATCTCAAGCAATACACTTGCTACAAACTCGCTCAGTACTTTGCCTGGTCACACGTTCTGAGGATGAAGGCAAAATTCTTCTCCTTTTGCGAAGATGAAGAACTCAAGAAGGTCGGCACCCTTATTCTTTGCGTCGAAGAAGGATTCGACCGACGACGAGGTTATGATGCTTACAACCTTGGTGTGTGGCCTGGATCTCGTATCCTCGTTGCTGAACGTATGCTCCTCGTCGTGGAAAAGGATAAGGTTGCCACCGAAACGACGGTGAAGGGCTTTCATACGTTCCTCAAAGAGTGGGATACACTTTCCAAGGAGCCAATGGGATACTACTGCCAGTGGATCGACGATCTTGTTGTTGCTCGCAAGGCCCGATTTCGACACTGGGAAGACGCCCTTCGATGCACGCAGCACCACCTGGTCGATCTGGTGAAGTACCTAGACCGTAACGAGATGTATCAACATATTAGAAAGATCAAGAAGAAAGGAATATGGTGTAACTGCGAGAGCTGCACAGCGGAAGAGCAAAGAAAGGCGCTCGTGGACGGAAAAAGGCCGCCTATGTATCGAAGAAGGACGGTCACGGACCGAAAGAAGATACTTGCGGATCGATCAGACTCGCGATATACCAACCGAGGTTTACGGCCATGGTACAGATATGACAAGTGGGATCCAGATTATGACGATACGATTGACCTGGATAGAATGCTGGAGATGACCTGCACCGCAGGATTCGACCAAAAGCTTTACCCTGGCGTCTGGAATCGCACGATGAATTGGAAAGAAATGCATTGGTGGGAAGAAGACTATGGTACAAATTCCGATGACGGCCACAGCGTTAATGAAGACTTTGAAAAGCTGCAAAGTCATGAGAAGTTGCACAAGGAAGGACAAGCGAAAATAAAGGTTGTGTTTGCAAAATAGAGGTACAAGGTTGATGAACACGATAAGAACGACGCTGCGGAGGACGTTGAGGTCGACAAAGAGCGTGAAAACCACAACCACAACTATTGGGAGTCGGTTTCGTAAAAAAGCAAGCAGGCGTTCACAATGAATCAATATGCGCATTCATTGAAGCGTGAAAGCATCGCTTGTGCGGTGTGGCGTCATTGCGATATTGAGGCCAGTTGAGAGGCAGCAAGTGCGGATGAGTTGTCTTCGCGAGTGGAGCAGCGAGCACAAATTGATGCGCGCTGGAATCGTCGTGATGGGAGGTGTGGAAGGTGGATATAACTCAGTGGGGGCACGTCCAGGGCACTTCTACCGGCGCCCCACTTCTTGGGCTCTTCGTCAGTTTTGTGGATTATCGCGCAATGAAGCTAAGTCGCAGGCTCCACCACGCGATAAACAACCACTCCAACATATAATAAACCAGGGTAAGATCGAATTACGGAAGATAGGCGAAGCGTTGCTACGAAAGATGAAGTTGACCAATTATCTCTTCGCGACCGGAACATGCGCGGCATATCTTATTCCACTTGCTCATGCGGCGAACGTTTCAAACCCCCATGATAGTGCGGTGCAAGACGCCACAGCATTTGCAATTCAGGTAAATGACAAATCGCAAACATGCTGTATTATTGTTAACACTCCTTCAGTATGCGTATCCAATATCTCAATGGCAACAAGCTGTGACGAACATCCTGGATGCCGTCAATAACACGAATACTTTATGGCCATATCATACACTTTCAGGCCCCTTAAATCGCACTATAGTCGGTCCAAATGCAGACACGCTGTATATTTGGGCGGCTATCGACTTATCGCATGAAGACCTCGTCTTGACCATCCCCAACATCAGTGATGGAAGAAACTGGATATGGCCTTTCTATGACCTGTTAGTCTCGTTAAAGGTCAAACATGTACAACAAAATACTGACTGATCTCAGTTATGGCAGCAATTTTGCCTGGATGTCAATCAATGAGGACTCGCCACCTGGGGACTATCTAATCAGACGTGCAGACGATGCATTTGTTCAACCAGGAATTGAATACGCTAATCCGTCTGAACCATCTGGTTACAAAGGTATAATTTCGTATGCCACCACCTACGGTATCATGCTTGGTCGTATCCTTGTACGTCAAAATACCACGGAAGATATTGCGACCATACGCAACTACGAAGACCAGACCTTCCTCAAAACAGTTCCTCGTACACTGTCTCAACCTTCCGTAGCACAAGCACCTAGACTGACACGTGATCTTATCGATACCTCGAACGCCACTGATAGAGTCACTGGCTACCTAGAACTGCTGGCCAAGATCGGACAGTTCAATCAACCCGAAGTACTTGCAGACCGGTACCGAGTAGCGTCCAAACTTGGTCTTGCTGGCATTGCAGATGGAGTTTACACTCCACCTCGGACATTCAACCTAACTGCTGCTACCATTGCAGCAAACGCAAGCATCTCTGCAGCTTACTCCCAAAACTTGATCGATGTCGGCAACAACTGGGTCATCCCGAAAGTAAAGTGCCAAGGCATCTTTGGCCTCGAATACGGCTGTCGTGCTTACCGCGCCCTCCGCGGTTATCTGGGGCTAGTACAATCTGAAAACCTCTTCATCACGAACAAATCGGACAATTTGACCTTGAGCGCGACGTCGGCCTTTCTCTTCACCATCTCTGGCAAGCCGCCGATCAAGTCGACCGGATTTTGGAGTTTGACTGTGTATGGAGCGGACCAGTATCTAGTGCCCAACGAACTGGGTAGGTACGTCATTGGAGACCGAAGCACGCAGTTGAAGTATGAGGATGGTGGCCTGGTATATGGTGGTGATGGCGGGCTTTCCGGGAACGGGATGGAGGATGGGCGATTCCAGGTCCTATTGCAACCTGCTGATATTCCCCCACCCAATAACTGGACTAGCAAGTAAGTTTACTCATCTTTCACTGTGTTAGTCGCCTCCGCCTTTCACCATACGAATTGTTTGGATGCGATAGAACATTGACTGACTTGAGACTTGCATAGCTGGCTTCCGGCCCCAGCGGGTGGCGGTAAGCTTCTATATTCGATACGGTTCTACTCCCCAGCAGAAGCTTTCACCAATGGGTCATACATATTCCCAACTGTCGAAACCGTCGGTGCAATCACGGCTTGAGGACGATCTACTCTCGAAAACGCTCTTACATCGAGGAATCGAAAGGAAAACACTTGTAATATTGTTTCTTATATCTGCCAGAGCCAGTATCAGTTGCGAGCAGCTAGATTCCATCAATCCGTGTACACGTTCTAGCTTGCATATCTCAGTATGCACGCGAGAAATACTTTCTAACGTGCCACGACACCTGCATAGATTCCGCGTTCTCCAGCAGATCTCGTGCAGGGTCCTGAGCGCCTGAAAAAACAAGAGATTCTCACGACAGGATTTGTCCACCGGTGTAGGTGAGGAGAGTATTGCCATATCAGCTACAGAAAGAATTAGCGAGCCGCTCTATAGAGTAGCATAGGAAGGGAGGCGTGCTATTCTTTTGGTTCGATGACACATCGCTTACCCTTTGGCAAAGTCATGAAGTATGTGTCGACCTCCATCTCTGCCTTGCTAAACGATCTAGCACTGGACGCTGTAACGCCTTTCGTAAAGGTGCTGTAGAAATTTGCAAGAGCATGACGAAGTTCAAGCTGAGCAAAGTGTGCACCGATGCATGCTAAGGTCCATGTTAGTCAGTTTCATTCCTAGCAAGGACAAAAAGGGCCAAGGCTCACCTCGGCTACCTCCACCGAACGTGTAGAAGCTTTGCAACATATCTGTTGAAGCGTTGTCCCATCTTGCAGGAATAAACTTTTCCGGATCCTTGAATACTGTCGAGTTACGGTGCATGGACCACGCTTGTACTCCAACGATAGCGCCTGCCGGTATGTGATGTCCGCATAGTTCAGTTCCTCCTTCAGGAACAACACGAGGAAGACTTTGGCCAATAGGGGGCCTTATGCGGAGCGTTTCGGTAAGCACGTTATTGAGTAACTTGCACTTGCGCAAATTGTCATCTGTGAAGCCGTCCGGAAGGGCTACGACTTTGTTACACGGGGTTAGGCTATACTTCTCTAGGCTCGGTCCGTACTAAGGCGAGGTAGACTAAAGCGGTAGTCCGTGAGGTATCGTATGGAATGATC